GGGGAGGCTTGTGACAATTTAAACACCATTCCCAAACTACAATAATCGTTATTTTCCCTTAACAGCTCATAAATCAGGAAATTGAGGTATTATGCAACAGTATAACTTGGAGTTAACAATTACGGTATACATTGTATCAGTTGCTTTATTCTAGGAAAATATTATGGCCTCTTTGACCATATTTATAGTACATCAACACAAAAGGGAGAAACTCAAATTCTGGTTATTTCTACGGCAGAATATTGAAGGAACAAAATCATAGACAAGGCTCAGTGTCTTGAATGTACATAGGACTTCTCCTGTAAATAAACTTGGTTATAGGCCTAAATCTCAAAGACTTCTGCTAATGGTAGTAACCATAGTCACTCACTAAGCATTGTTCAGGGACGAGCTGTACTGTTACAACTCTTGTGTTTTTAGGCAATCTATATTAACATCACTGGAAAATGAATGCAATACACATTCTTAAAAGTTAGTCATTAAACCACAGAATTAAATTAAGCTTGCTAGTCTGTTTTTCCTTCTGTTAAATAAACTCATAGAATATGAAGAGTGTTTAAATAAAGATCTCTTAACACAGGAGGCAGCTTTTTCCATCAACAGATGATGATTATTTTCCTTAATTAACCAGGTTCAGCTTAAACATTAAGATACATCTTACAGTTGAATAAGCTTTATTTGTCAGACTTCAATTCTGAAAGCACTAGTTTATACTTTTTCCTAAAAAGTATTAAACATTCTTAAGACTTTTATGAATTTTTCCAAAGGCAAATAACTAAAGATCCAGTGACTTAACTCTAAAAGCTTGAGAAAGGAAAGGTAAAGTGAAAGATTTTTGTGTATGAGAAATTTATGCCACAAGATAATTTGTTAGATTGCCAGAGATTTGACAAGGATTTGTTGATAGAAATAGGAAGAATAAATCAGATCTTCCAACTTCCCTGGCCGTGTTTTCATAGAGATGTAGTTATTTTTTTCACTGGAGGCAGAATTTTATCAATTAACTAAAAAATGCACTCATCTCTAGATTTTTGGGGATGTATCCTTAGCTTTTAAGAGGTTTATTTACAAGTCAAACTAAAACATAGTTGAGAGTGCTGGATTTTTTTCAAAATACTTTAGGGAGAACATAAGCAACTGTATTAACGGTTTCTTTTTCTTGTATAATTCTGCATTGAAACAGGAAACTAATGCTGTTGTCTCACTCCCTTTAATTTTCTGCTTTTTTGTTATTAATGGAATAGTTTTATTTATTTTGGTATTACTTGCTTGTGTAGATCTATTTTTATTTTTTGAAGACTCTACAAAATTCAGTCTGATTTTAAGTGTCTGGCATACAGCAGTGTTTCACAGTGGCATTGTGAAAATATGAAAGTAGGGATTTTTTTTTTTTTTTTTCTGTGAGATTTGTTAGTCACAGACAAATTGTTTTCCAACCCTGTATTAGAAGCTTCCTACTTCTAACAGATGTTCTATGTGTTTTGCATGGGTTTTAATTTAAAACAACCAGACCTTTTTTTACTTCTAGTTTAAGTTATCTTACAAAAAGTAACAGAGTACTCTGTTTTTAGAACTAGCTTAATATTTTAAATTTTTATTTGGTAAATTCATAGGAAAACTCAGGTTGGAAGAGACCTCAGGAAGTTGCAGAACCACAGAACAGTTGAGGTTGGAACTTCTGGAGGCCATCTTATGCAGCCCCCCCAGCTCAAGCAGTCTCTAGTCTCCAGCCTCCTGCTCAAAGCCATGTCAACTGTGAGGTTGCTCAGAGCTTTATTCTGTGGTCTTGAAAACCTCCAAGGATGTAGACTCTACAGCTTCTCTGGTCAAACTGTTCCACTGCTTGACTGTCATTAGGGTGAAAAAGATTTCCCTTCTCTCCAGACTGAAACTCTCTTGTTTCAGCTTGTCTGTTGTCTGTCATGCTCTCATCATGCGTTGCTCTGAGGAGCCTGGCTTTGTTGTCTTGATCACCTCCTTGCAGGTACTAGGGGGTTGCTATCGGGTCCTGAAGCAGTCTGTTCTCCAGGCTGAGCAAGCCCTCATCCCTCAGCCTTTCCTCATGAGGAAGGCTGACTACCTTGGTGCTTCTCTTCTCAATTCACTCCAGTTTACTGGTGTCTCTGTTCTCTTGGGAGCCACACTGGATTCTGTATTCTAGGTGTAGTCTAATAAGTGCTGAGTAGAGACAAAGAATCCCTTCCTTTATATGCTGGTCATGTTTCAGTTAATACTGCCAAGGATAGTGTTGGATGACATTTCTGCCAGGGCACACTGCTGGCTCATGTTCAGTCCTGCTATGCTTATTTCTCAATGTTTCTGGTATGGTCTGATTATGTATTCTCTACTCTGCCGCCAAGCCAAATTTTCCCCTACCAGCTCAAAAAAAAATATTTTTTTTTCCTTGCTGGATTACTTAGGTTTAATCCAGTAATGCATTCAAGAGACTAATCTTTTGGTATAGTCAGAAATTATAAAGCTCATGGTAGCTGTTTTGTTTCAGCAGGGAGAAAACAACCTTAACCAGCTTGTGGGCAGCACGAACTTACTCTGACAAGGAAAACTATATTGAGATCTATATTAAGAAACTCTTAACTCTTTTTGTAAATGTCAGCATCAACTTGCCTTATTCTGCTAATTTATTTTTTCAGTAACTAATACTCGATGACCTAAAAGCTTCATTCACTTGCGATGTGATGAGAGTGTTGTCATAAGGCCAGAGTTAAGTACGGAATCAACTATGGTATTGAAGACAGTTTTGGATAACTGAAAAATAAGACAATAACCAACTTAGTGTATTTAGAAGTAAGGGTGCATCTGTGAGTTTTGTCTTGAGGATTCAGTTCTTAATATGTGATCTAGGGAATTGATAATTTTTTGAATTGAAAACCTAATTTCTGAATTCCATTAAAGGCATTTACTGTACTTCATAAGGTACAGTTCTTAAGTACTTAAAAAAAAAAAATTATCCATGCACACACTTGTCAATAGGAATTAGTTCTGTTAATTTAGTCTTTATCATCTGCTTGAAGTATGTTGATGTTCTGGCTCTCATTTTAAGTGTACTTCATCTTCCAACTTTGTATCTCGGAACTGGACCTTCTTTTGTGTTCTGCTGATGACAGACCTGTAATTTTTTTTTTCCACATTGTTCCTACTTTCACACCATCCTATATTAAGGGTGCTGCTCTACAGGCAGGTTGGAATCAGCTGCTTTTTCCTATCCCTCAGATGTCAGGTTATGGAAAAGGAAAATTTTAACTCATAGTGGACTAATCTTTTTAATATCTTCTGAGTTACTACTTAATTTTACCCTGAGTCTTGTTTTCATGTTCCCCTTCCCTCTCTTTGTCCTTTTGAGTGTAGATTACATAGCATTCTGGACCGAGCTTATGTCCTGAAGAAACTACTTTCAAAAACTGGAGCATACAGAAAATGTAGCTGCTACCTGAGAACCACAAGGTTTTCCTTGCAGCTCAAAATAATAAACTTTTTTGCTTCTGTATGTGTTCTATTACCAATAAACAGTTTTGAAGTTACACCATATATGTTTTATAGCATCTCGTATCATGGCACTGAAGATTCTGGATGTTGTTACTGTAGTACTTGAGTTTATATTGTATTGGGAGCAATATTTTCCTTTTGTTGTCTCCTGATATTTCATACTTGTAGAATGTTATATCTTGCTAGAGTTGTCAATACCTATTTGTTTGTAGGATAAAAATGGACCACACCATCCATTTCATCCACAGATGGTTAATTCTATTCTAATACAGAGCTAACTAGTCTGCATTCCAGACAGTAGAAATATAACTAGACATCCAAGTATGATCCAATTCTAATAACTTCTAACAGGCAGTATTTTCCTACAGATAGGATGTCTGAAAGCCTTTCATAAGATGCCACAAATGGAAAAATCCTTGATTTTTTTTTTTTCTGAAAAATGGTTTCCTTCCTTCACTAGTTAGGGTGCACTGAAAGCTCTTGATAAGTGAATACAAAATGAGATCACATTTCCTTAAGTACTCTTACTATTATTTAATATATATTGGGTACATCCTAAGAAATGCAGTATCCTATAAATATCAGGTTTCTTCATTATATGTTTCATTTCCTACTTAGGCCAAGGTTAATCTACAGAAATTTGGCTAATGAAGATTTAATTTCTATGGATTTAAATCAAGGGACCAAATCTGAAAGTCTAAATCTAGGCTTATGTACTCATAGCTAGACTTGCGTATTCATGCTTCTGGGAAAGAAGAGGCTATGATATCAAAGAATTGCATGTCTCATGCATATTAAAATACAGGGGTGTATTTAGTGTTGTAGGATACTATTTATTTATTAAATCTGTAATGCAAAACCCAAAGTGCTTTTCCTGTTGGGATAAAATACCATTGCCAACTTAAGAAATCACTCTATAGTTTGAGGGTTTTTTTCCTGTGTAGATCAGCATTCTCCTTAAACATGCTAAAATTAAGGCTATCATTTTCTTACTAGTCCTTTACAAGTGTTATAAACTATGAACTTTGAAACTGTGAAAATGAAATCCCAAAATCCAGTTATTAAAAGGAGGCTGTTATTTTTTTCATGGTTAATAAAAAGGAAGTTTTAAAGCACTTGACATAAAAAAGAAAACACAATGTTTAATGAATGTGTCTAGGCCTCATTTAATGGTTGAAGTTGTTCAGGAACCCCTGGAGGTCATCTGGTCTAACCTACTGCTCAAGCAGGGTTACCTAGAGCAGCTTGCCTGGGTACATATACCTTGGTAAAAATCCCCTGAGCCTTCCCTTCTCTAGGCTGAGCAGTCCCAGCTGTCTCAGCCTCACAGAGGAGATGCTCTAGGCCCTTAATCATCTTTTCACCTTTTACTGGAGACTCTGCAGTATGTCTGTCTCTTGTGCTGGAGAGACTGGAACTGGACACAGTACTCCAGGTTGGCCTCACCAGTGCTGAAAAAAGGGGAAGGATCAACTTCCTTGACCTGCTGGTAATGATTTGTCTAATGCAGCCTGGATACCATTTGTCACCTTTGTGGGGGAATGTTGCTGGCTCATGTTCGAGCTGCTGTCCACCAGGGCCCTTGGGTCCTTTTCTGCCAAGCTGCTTTTCAGCTGGATGGCTTCCAGCATGTACTGGTGCCTGAGACTGTTCTTGTGCAGGTGCAGGACTTTGCACTTCTTGCTGAACTTCATGAGGCCCATTTCCTCAGCCTGTCCACTTCCCTCTGGATGACAACATGACCTCTTGGCATATTGGCCACTTCAGTTTGCCGATGACACAATACTAGGTGAGGATATACTATGCTCCATCACCCAGATCACTAATGAAGATGTTAAACAGGACTGGACCCAGTATTGACCCTGGAGTTCATGACTAGTTATTGGCCTCCAACTCGAGACTCATAGATGAGCAGTTTTACATAATTTATCGAAACTTCCACAGGAGGCCTTGCCAGGGTTTTCACATTAGTGACAGTTATGTTCCTGTCTAAATGTGCATTATCTCTTTAGAAGTTATTTCCACCCCATTAGTCTCTTAAACATTTACAATAGTAGACAACTATAGCAACTATAATTGGTTTGCAGAGATGATAAACACAGTATGATGTAGTCTGTGGAAGAAGATACATAGATATGGAGAGTGTGGATAGATATTCAAAGGGGAAGATCCCATTTGATCTGCAATAGGTCAGAGGCTTATCAAGGTGATGTCGTAGTTGGCACTTTGTTATAATGCAGAACAGGGTAAGTTACCCAAAAGAGACTATGGCCTTTAAAACCAATGGATATAACATTAAAATCTAGGTAGAAAACAGATCATTTAGTGGTAAAAGGATACTCTAGACAATTTAGTTAGTAAATTATTTTCATGAGAGGTTGCTTTCTGTGTTACATCAGTTGTTTTGCCAGGTCCAGATGGTGAGTATGGTAAGTACTGCTAATGATTTTTTAGTAGTATGTGCAGTTAGTCTATTTAATGTATACATTTTAGTTTCTCATATTTTTCATGTGACAGTTTTAGAAAATTAACTGAAAAAATAAAATTGATCAGTCTTTATCAATGAACAATGCTAAATACCCGGTTAAGTAGGAATTAAATGTTCCTCACACTTCATATATGCTGGAATCTTATACTTTGTCTTTAATGAAATCATAAATATATTTTGTTTTCATATTGAAATCAGTTTTGTCACTTATTTTATTCCTAGATCTGATGGGCAAGGTCCATCATTGTGTGTCATTAGGAAAGGCAAATATCTTTTTACTTAGATGCAAGTGAAGATCACTTGTTTAATCCTTTCTTCAGTACATGGCTTTATGAAATGAAGGAAGAAGAACTAAATGTTGGAAATTATATTTCAGTTCTGTCACCTTTGTGGGACTTTCAGTGTTCTTTAATTGTATAGTCTTTCTCAAGTTATGTGACTGAGGTCTTATTCTTCAAGCTGTACTTATTTTTCAGAAAGCTTAATAAAAACTTTGTCAAGGACATCTTGCTTCACTGCTTTTGTTTTTCTGCTTTTTTTTTTCCCTGTACTAGTAAATTCTTAAATAGCTGAAACTGCTCGAGAGTGACCATCTGTTCTGTTTCCAGTGGAACGATTCATCCTTGTATTTCCCCTTGAGCTGTCAGTCCATAGCAAACTCTGAATTCAAACTATGCACTTTTCTTATTTTATGAACCTTTTAAAAAGTCATCAATTAAATGTTTCACTGTTATTACACAAGCAAAACCTTTTTTTCCAGTTGTTAATTTCTGTTAACTGAGAGTTAATATTTTTTTCAGATTTGGAACAGAACTTCTTTAACATAAAATCCGTTGAGATGGTAGAAACATTCACATCCAATTCTAGGTGTTACTGTTTTCTTATTAGCGAAAGATGGTCTCAGTTTCTCAGCTGTCTGAATATGGATTAGCTACTTTTTTTAAACTACTTTTTCCTCCAAAGAAATCAGTTTTAGCTGTGAGATAATAATCCCTTTCCATGTTTTTACTGTTATATTTAATACACTGATCTTTGACATCTGTGTTTGAGATCTGGGATCAGAAAAGTTCCAAATGAAACTGTATGGCAAGTGTAAGGCATTAATGCTAGACATCCTTGTTATGATTAATCAAGTTCATTCTCTCATTAATGTTTTTAGTGTTTAAAATGGGAAGTTTCATTCAGGTTTGATTGTTATTTTATCTACTTCTGAGAGTTTGACTGTGTTTCTTTTCCTATGCACATCCAGAAACTAAGAAACAGTCTCTATCAGTATTTCAAGATTTCTTGCCAATACTTTCATTTCTAGCATTGTATTAAAAAAGATATTTCACTGACTGCCTTTTGCTCATGTACATATGTAATGTTTTATGTTTCAGTAGAGTTGCTCTATAATTTCAATTTTTATCAGCTACGGGTCTGTTCAGTAGTTCACTGGAATATTGTGGAAATTCATGTATTTAAAACTGGAATACATTGCAAGTAATTAAAGACTATTTCTTAAGTATATTATAAAGATTTCCTATTTGTAAAAATGTTTCTCTAGAAAGCTTTGTTATCACAAATTTCAGCTAATATGGTATAGAAGAAAATGTAGGCCTCTGTTCCAGGGCAAAGAATGAATGCTGTTCTCCTATGTGTATTAAAGTGCAATGGTTATCTCAAACATTTGTTTAAAATTCAGATGTAGTGAATCAGAGTTTACAAAGCCTGATATACAGTTGTCTGTAACAAGATGTTACAATGCATAACTGCTTGTTATTTGCTTTCTTGGTTAAATTTCTCACTGTGCAGAATTTGAGCAAACGAACTCTTTTGGAAACCAAAATAGATCTTAGTGTTCAAATTTTGTGCTTTACCTTCTCATGAAGATAAATTCATCCTTGTAGAAGGAGCAGAGTGTTGTCAAGGCCTTATAGATGCCCCAGGTTCAATAACAACTGCAGGGCAATGGCCTTGGGACCGGTATATGCTGCAGTTCTGGACTACGAGAAGTTTTGTTCAGAAACCTGTTTTTCTAAGCAAAGTCTGACAGTTCAGTAAATGAATAAAAGGTACTTCTCAAACACAGAAGAATTGACAAAATCAGTTCAAAGCACAAAGAAAGATTCTAGTAAATTTTTATTTAAAATAGTGAATACACAAGTTCTCTCCTTTTTTTTTTTTTCTTTTTTTAGATTCATCAGATGGAAGTCTAAAAGCTTCTACACATCACGGGACAATAGATGTTTATGTCAGTCAATTAAGAAAAGTAGATCTGAAATCCCAGAAAGGTTAGCAAACTAAAATCTTTTTTGTGGCAACTAATGTAAAAGGGGGTAAAGGGTTTTTTTGTTTATCTGTCCGGAAAAACATATGTGATTGTTGGTTATCTACATTATTTTTTACCTCATTATGAAAATATATATAAATATAGATGTATATTAATATACAGTAAACTCTCTTAAGGGGCAGTGATACTTAAAACGGATTACAGAATTTTTGTATTTTTCAATACTATCTTATTTTCCTGCCAGTGTACCCATCAGAATTCTGTAGAGTTGACTTGTATTACAGCCTTACTTTGCCTTGAGCACAGTTTACTCCATGATGCTGATACATGTATGTTCGGAGTGGCAGCTGACACATATTTACATTTCTTTTTCCTGCCTTTCTGGGTGAAATGTTCCATCGTTGAAATTCGGAGGCAGAAACCCAAAGATTCCTCCTCCTTTTTCCTGATGACTTGGTAGAATTTCATTTACTTAAAAGCTCACTCCTAGAGTTGGGTTCCTAGTTTTGCTATTCAGAAGATATGATACTGTAAATGACAAACCCTTGAATATGTCTTGTTATACCTAGTTTTGTAAAAAAACCCAAACAAACAAAAAAAAAACAAACAACAACACACCAACAAACCCTCACTACAGTATTTTTTTTATTTGACTCTAACATTGTTAGGCACTTCAGGTGGTTTAAATGAAGATGGTATTTGGTACCCTTCTGTCATCTGTGAAACAATGCCTGTTAAAATCTAGCAGTTGCTTAGAATTGGAATAATGAAAGAAATGCATAGAAATCATTTGTGTGCCATTCTTTCTGTACAATCTATTCAGGTTCCATTGGTGCAAAGAAATTTATATTATTTCTTGGTTACGTTTTGAGTCACTTAGTAATAAGTTAACATTTCTCTGAATTAGTAGCAGAGAGGAATGTAGTTCATAAAAGCTCATTAATGTTATTTTCAAAACATTGCCTGACATTTCTTCTGGCAGCACAGTTTAGTAAAGGCAAAGTTGAAGTTCTGTTTTCATTTACCCTGTAAATTCAGAGTAACTGCTGACAACTGCAGTGTAGAAAATGTCCTGTTCGTGATAAATTAGCTGCATGTGTGTTGGGTTTTATGAGTCACATCACTGAGCAACTCTCCAAGGAGGACCCAAAGATTAAGACCTTTTCCCTTTCTTACTCTAAAGCTTTGGTGTACCCAGCAAAATTTAGGCCTAAATTATGCTGACAGTTATTTGTTCATCAGGACCATCACAGGCAAATGATTCTGAACTTAAACTGCATAACTGGGGTTGCTTTCTAACTGCTGTTTAGTTCTTATCAGTTTTCTTACTGTCTTCTGCTTCAGCTTTTAACATATATTTAAAGAAACTTTTTAATGTTTTTCTAAAGTGAATGTTAGAATTGTGCAAAAACTAAGGAGCATGTATACAGAAAGTGTATTCTGAATTTTGTTAGGTTTTTGTTTTAATGTGGAGGGTGCAGCTTCCAAATATTGTGACTGAGTAATTCCAAATATGACTAATGTGGGCAGGTTGGGGGCCCAGCATCTGCCATCAGCCTGATGCATAGAAGCACATATTTAGGGGAAGCAGAAATAGGAATTTCTGGTTTTAATCTCAAGGGTAGTATTATTCAGGCCACCAAAGCTGCAATTTTTCTAGTAGTTTACATTTTAGTTATGTAGTCTAAACTGGTTAGTCACTGTTGTGGAGGCTCTCAAAATAAACAGTAATTAAAATAAACTTCTTTTGATACAATTAATTGGCACTCTAACAGTCATTCACAAATGACAGATCCAAATGTCCATGAGAGGGAACAAAAACTATTACTGCACAAAACTCTAGGATTTAATGACAATCCAAAAATTCTTGATCACTCACCTAAAATGTGAGGGTTCTCAACCTCAAGGACTTTCCCTGGGTGGCATCACAACCCAAGTGGGGAGAGTCCTCAACTGCAGCGTGCTGCTCCAGGGGGGCTAGCTCAAAATGGCTCCCCCAGGGGACCCAATTTATCTGATCTGTGGTCAATATCAGCCCTTATTGGCTGAAGGCCCCAGTTGCTATGAAACTCTGAGAACAAGGGCACACACAAAAAAAAGCACCATTATATTTCAGCAACCAGGAAGTCCCATCTTCATCGGGGTCACTTTTGAGACTGCATCTGTTCAAGATGTGAACAGCTGGCCCTCTGCAGTGAAGCAGACAGTTGCTAGCGTTAACAGTATGTAAGTGGCATCTCATCGTTCCAGAGGAGCAGTTCTTTCATAATGTGCCACACAGTGGTTGGATTAATCATCAAATCTAATCCCTTGTCCTTTCTCGGGAGTGTAAATATGCAACTAGAAGATGAAACTAAGGTCATAACACCTGTGAGATCAATTAGATTTGCTTCCCTTGATCATTCCTGTAATAAGATCCTCTACTAAGAGCTGTTGCTAGCAGTATATGTCATTGTTAGTGTCTGTGTCCCCCAAGAAAATATGGTGACACCATTTTCTACATGTGACAGTATTCTGGTTATGAGAAATGAAGATGTCTTCATTTATCCTTTCAGAGACAAAAAAGAGGTTACTGTGTCTGAAGGCTCTTAAAAAAAAACCAACCAAAACCCACAACAACAAACAAACGATTATTTGATTCAAGTTTGCTAAATAATTGCCTGTTTCGTGCTTTGATCTCAATGCTACACTAACTTTTTACATTTATACCAGGTTCAATTACAGTCAAGGTACCTGCCTCTCTCAAAGCCTATTTACAGTTGTCTGGAAGAAAAGTGGATGTGAGCTCAGAGATCCAGTTAAAAGAAACACACAGTGCCTCCAAAGATGACCATGTAACTATAAGTGGTAAGGCTTACTAATCTTGGCTTCCAATAAATGTCTGTCTGGCCTTAGTCAAAAGCATCTATGTTTCCTTATGAGTTTATTGCTTTTGGCTGCTTCTTGTTTCATGTGTTTCAGGTTCAGATGTTTGCTTGTGCCGTTGTACTCCCCATGTTACTAGATGACATTTTCCTTTTTGGTTAATGCCTTGTGAATGCAGATAACTGCCTCTCTAACAAAAGTCTTAGAGTCAAATTCATCCTCAGCATTATTTCAGTGAACTTGTGAGAGGTAATCCAGGGCTGAGTTTGACCCATTGCTTTGTTGGTTTAGGAGTCACGTATAATTGTTGGGGAATGTCTACTAAAAACGTAATGAAAAGTTTTCACTGTCTCTGTTGAGTGGGAGGGGGAAGTAAAAGGGGTATATCACATATTTGTAAATGTAGAGTATAAATGTTAAACAGTGCAGGTTAGGCTGAGAAATGATGGGTGGGAGATAGCTGGGAGAAGAGCAGTAGCTGGAGCACGGTCAAATAGAGAGTACATGGAAAGGTGCCTGCAATTACTGAAAGAATTTTTCTAGTGCAATTACAATTGAACTCAGGAATCCCAAGTCTTGCTGTTTCCTGCTTTAGAAGACAGTTGTACAATTCAATGTCAGTGTGTGTATTTCTCTCCTCCTTTCCGGATGTGTCTATTTAAAAGCTAAGACCGTTGCTGTTACCAATTACTCGGTTTGCTCAAGAGGAAACATTAATGTAATGTGTCTGAAGGCTCCAGATTTGGTTTTCAACGTGTTATGTCAGTATGACCTGATATGATAGCAGATTGGGTGAGGCTTTGAGTTTTTCTTTGGTTTTAAACCTAAGAAGATAACTTCTTTTCCTCCCCCATGTAAGATGATAATCTCAAAGTCAGGAAATGTTAGAAATAGATATGTATGGCATTTTAATATGTAGCCTGCCTATGTAAAACATTAGTCTTAAAATGTATAGGCATATCTCTTCCTGCCTTGAACAGTAGCTATCATTTAAATTTACTGGTGGCTATTAAATAAAATTTATTTTAAAAACCTGGTTAGAATTTCTCCAGCTAGAAACCTGTAGAGGGACCCCAGGCTCTAGTAAGGCTCTATGGAACGGTTGCCTTAGCAGTAAAACAACACTTCTCCCAGTGAAGAGGAGCACTGGCCAGTCAATCATGGTGTCACTCTGGCAGCATTAAAGATTAGAGTGGTGTTTCAGATATACACAGCTGAATGGCTTCTCTGGTTTCATGACCCAGTCAGTTTATGTAGGACAGTCATCGCTGAAGCAGATGCAATTTTTCAACCCACCATTCTGTATGGAAATGATCTTGGCAGTTGAGGCCAAAAGCAGCTCTGATTAGTTAACCCTCAAATAAATATACATATCCCAAAGGCATGAAAATCAACAACAATTATGCAGAGGCAGCAGTATTAGGCCACTGATTATCAGCTCTTTAAAGAGGTTACAGCATTGCACAAAAAAAATATATTGAATATAGATCTAAATTGATTGTAATACAAGTGAATGAAAATAGACCCTGGAGTGGATTTGCTGCAGGGTACAATTCAGTTAAACTAGTGCTGGGCTGAAGTAATGTATCTTCATCTGTCTTTATACCTGGCATTTAGATTTAAGTGTTTTCTCACATGATGTAACCAGTTACAGCAGCTCTGTCCTCCCTTTTCTTCACTGGTCAGTAAGAAGCAGCAAACCTGAAGGGAGATGAAGTAGTTGATTTTAACATATGCTTTGCTCCTTTTTTTTACCATTTTGAAAACAGTACCTCCCTGTTCTTTGCCAAGCCAGTAACATTGCTTTGGCATGGCAAGGAAGATGCTTCCTGATTCTCCTTCTTGTTACCTTATCCTTATACTTGTCCCCACTGTGGGTGCAGTGTATTCTTTCTGCAGGCCAAGCACTTGTACCCTCATTCTCAAAGTTGATATTTGAGAATTTTCTTGTACAAGTAGTTTCTGAAATAATTAAAAATCATTTCATACTGTTTCTATATCATGAAAACACTATCCACTGTTGAACTTTTAGGTACAGTCTGTAACTGTCCTGCTGCTGCAACGGAAGAAATAGAAAATAGAGAAGAGGGGGCTTTGCCAAGTGGAAAAAAAACTGTATCACCAGAGTGTGATAGTTTAGATATTTATTATTTTTTTGAGCTCAAAGGTTAGTTTAAAAATAGATTATTTTTTCAGAAACTGGCTAGTTCTCATGTGGATAACACAGGAACCAGCTGCTTTTAGGAAGCTGTACTTGCCCCTGGGAATATGTTAGAGAGGAGGCTCTCCAGTGAGAAGACAAAGTATGGATCTGTGATGGGTAAACATGCACCTATTCTATCACTACCACTAGGGAGGCCTTCCCTCCTGCCGTTACAGTGGTTATGATGAACACCATCACCTTGCTTCATGGCTCCCGTTTGCACGCTGAGTGGAGAAGTCAGTACACTACAATCCCACAAGCAGTCACATCCAGGGTTTTGCAGGATAGCCAAGGAATAGGGCAGGATTTAGTCAAAGCAAGAAGCCTGGACTGAGTGCTCTAGAGGCAGATTAATGCAAGTGTGGAAAGGTGTTTTGCTCTTTTAGAAAAGAAAGGGACTTTCCTGCAGAATTGGGACACTTGCTGAGAAAGGAAAGGAGTCTAGGGAACAGTGCCAAGGAGTTTACTCTCCAGTGTAATTTGCAAGGATAAGGCACCTGTTTCCATTGACATCCTGTAGGTACTCTTAGAAGTAGTATGTATGGTATAATGAAATCTGTTATAAAACCGGATTTTTTTCATGGTAAGCACTGGTCTAGCTTCCATCTGTGAAAGTTTGTTTGACTGTCTAGTTTGAGAATGCTTGAGTAATTCCAGTAATTTCTGACGGTAATCATGTCAAAGCATTCTTTTCCTTTCCCTAGCAAAGAGGAAAGCCCTTGCTGCTCAATGTCTGCACCTTCCCCATGTCTCCAGGTCTGCCTGTATTCTTCAATCAGCTGATTTAAGAAGCCTGTAGAGATAACTAACTATATCTGGTACTATATATGTAAAAGGAAGGGTGGTAGGCTAGGAAGTGTCAAATATTTAAGCAGAAAATTAACTTAGACTGTCATGTGAAAGGGATTACAAACATGTTAAAGTACAAGGTTAAAATACAGATAATCTTGATTTATATGCTTTATAGGCCATTTTTCTAAGTCATTTTAAGTTCAAAGTATAAAGGTAGGAATAATTACCTTTGTAGTCCCAAGAGAAGTATTTCAATAAAAACATCAGTAAACAGAAAACAATAATGTTACACAGTTTGAAAAAAAAAACAAAAACAAAAAAAAACCACACACCACCAACAGTGTATTGACATGACTGTTCCGTAAGACTCAAAATAATCCCTTGGCTTTACATAGCATTAGTAATACTTTGCTGGAATATGTCCAGCTTTGAGTACTGTACTTTAAAAAAAGGATGTGGACAACTGTAGAGACTCCAAAGGAGAACACGTGATCAGAGGCTTAAAAACATGATCAGTGAGGGAAGACTAAAAAAGTGTGTTTTTTCTAAAGAAAAGAAGACTGAGGGAAAATAAGATGCATTTTTCCAATGTAAGAAATTTCTGCAGAGATGAAAGAAATAAATTGTTCTCTGTCCACTGGTGATAGGACTAGAAATTATGATTTGACGTTGTGGTAAAGTTAACTTAGCTGCATAGTAAGATAAACTTTCTGGTAATACGAACTTGTCTAGTGAGGCCGTAGGGCTGTCGGTACTGCAGATTGTGAAGAGCAGGCTAGGCGACCATGTTGGGTTAAATACAGTGCATCCTCAGGAGGCTGCTTTCAGCCCTCTTTGCTCTTGTCTGAAGTTGATGTGTCCATCTGCTCCCACCCGCTCCACAGCAACTCAGAGGAAGGTTCTGAGGCCTGTGGGTAGATAAATTTGGGGACTAAATGAATGCAGCCAGTGGGCATGCTTCCGCCCACTTCCATTGCCAGCTTGTGTGCTGACAGTTGTAAGCTTGCTGGAAAAAGTCTTGCAGTCATTCAGAGACTTTCACTGGATCCTTGTAGCTGGTAGTGTCAGTTTCCAAATTTAATGGTCTGGATTATGAACCCTTTCTTTAAACTGTGCAAATCTTCCATCTCTGAGTGGTGCCAGGGACTCATCAGATTCCAGATCTTTCTCCATCCCTGGTCCCTGTTCTAGTGTCAAGTTCATAGCTAGCGGCACCCTTTGACCTGACGCAATCCATCTGCTTGGTGCCGAGTGACCTTTTAACTTTCACAGTCACTTACTCCATCTGGTTTTCAGCACTTGCATGAGTTTCCTTGGTAAAAGTCCCACAGTGTCACAGGTGCTCCTCAGAGGCCATGAACGTTTGTCTTTTGTAGGTTGTTGTGTCTCCCTATTCTTAACTTTCTCAAGTTGGCAAACCAACCTCTTCATATTTTTCTGTCCTCTTACAAAAAGAACATACTCTTCAGTTATTACTGACTTCTCCCAAGTCGAGGCATACTTGTTCCCTGTATCATCCAGCATGACAACAGTTGCAGGAGTTAACAGGATTTTTAGCTTTTGGTACTAAACCAACCCCATCTACAGCCCTAGTGCTTTGCTGAGCCACATCTTAACAGTGTCCTCTGAGCCATGGCTTCTGGAGACTCTGCACACAGATAATAAGGCTAACTTATGTGTTCACTCAGATGTCTGTCCTGGGTATGGAGAGGAATCCCCAGTTGTCTTCTCTAACCCCTTTTCTCCTATGAAAGTTTCCATGTATATGTTGCCTCTACCTTATGAGCTGATCCAGCATCCAATTATTCTTTTGGTCGCCTTCCTCTTCATATGCCTCTGGAGTCAGCCCGTCTAGTTACCAAATCCCCTTGAAAAGATGGGCTTTGATACCACTGTTGTATCTGACTTTTTGGCTTTCTCTCAATAACATATTTCAAGTCTTTTCACCTTGTCTGGTTTTCCAGGTAGATTGTGGTGAGAAGCACTTTTCCACTTAGAGCAATCATTTGCTCAGGCATGCACTGAAATACTAAGACTTTCACATCTGCCTGAGGTTAGATCTGGATTCCTCTCTGGAACACAGGTGACTTAGACATGTTTCCTACCTTTGGGAATAATTTATTTCTTACTGCTGACACAGTGGCTCCTGATATGGTAGTAATGGGAGAGCAGCCTATGAAGTCCTGTGGACTTACCCTGTAGGACTGCTTCAAAGCAAGCGTGCAAGGAGGGAGATGACAGAATGAATCTCATATACTGTGAACCAAGCTTTATGGATGTGTTTAACTGCTTTTGTTATCAGAAATTCTATATTGTTTACTTTAAGGTAATATATGTGTCTTTAGCTGCATGGAGTTCCAGGGTTAAATACAAACACAGCTGAAAGAGTAGTGAATAATGTGAGGCAAGCAGCTTGCCTTTAAAAGGGAAATAACTGAAAGAGTTTGCATTATGTCAGTCTGATGAAACTTAAGTTTGTTCTGAAACCTAACAGCTGTCCAAGTGTAGCAATCATTCTCCCAGTGTGCAGCTGACTCGGGCATTCAGTTACGGTTCTGATCCCAGGAGTAACACTATCTGCTGCCATGTCCCTCCCTGTTTTCTCTGTTTTCAAGACACTTCTTCAAAACTTTCCTTCTTTCCTAGAAGCAATTTTTATTGACTCTTTGCCACTAGAATTGAGTGGGAAGAGCTTTGTTTTACAGTGTCCCTCCAAACACTGTCCCTCTGTGAAGCCTTAATCCTTAAGCAGTATCTGAAAAAAAACAAACAAAGACCCAGGTTGTATCTGGAAAAGATTACATTCCTTCAAGTCAAATAGAAAGTTCATCCAACTTTTTTATAAAACACATTTGATGAGATACTATCCTACAGACTTTTATTGGTTTCAGCCTGCATTTAACTCAAGCTGTTCACAGCCTTTTGAGATACACCACAGTCCTAACAACACCAGTGAGCAACATTTAAATTATGTTCCTCTTTGTGTGTGTTATGATATGAAAATAGAGCACTCTAACTGCTCCGGTCTCCAGGAAGGCAAGTGAATGAACAGTCAGTACTTGACTGTGTGAAGTTCTACTAAGGTGTGCTGCCCTTAGACACCACATTGGAGGGGGGTGGGGGTGGGAAATCCTTTTTCTGCAACATTAGATTGAAAAGGTGACCACACAGCATACCGTTGCATCTGTTTTCTCCTGAGCTCATGCTGTTGTCTTGACTGGTGGGTTTTTGAATATAATCCTTTTTTTTTCTTCTGCTTTTCTCAATCCAGCAGGACGTTGGCTTTTGTGATTTAATCATGCTAGCAAAGTCATCCTCAAAATCCACTTATGTTCCCACAGTATTCGGAGTACAGGCAGTGAGTACAGTTAAGAACAAACTGTCATCAGAAGGTCTTGAACTAAAGTTGTTGCTTGATGAGCAAGCACCTCATAGACAAAGCTATTTAAATATCTTAAGCTTGATTTGAACCTGCTACTGATGATAGGCTAAATAACCTTAAAATAGTTTGAAGATCTTCATGCCTAGGGAGTAGAACTTGACACTCACTTTCCTGCAGGCAGTTTGATATTTTCTGCATTCCCTTCACAGGCAAATCTCCAAAAGAAGCATAAGGAACAAAACATTTTTCTAAGTTCACATAGCAAATACAAAATGAGAAACAGAACTCAGACAACAACTGAGCTTTAAAACAGCTTTTGTTAATTTGTTTCTGTGTTTCTTCAAAACTCTAACTTCTTAGCAGAAGTGTAGCAGGTCATAAGCAGTGCCTGAAACTGTTCATTTACAGGGCTGATTCTGTGCTTCAGTGTTTGTTCCTTGTGCAGAAGTACAAGCCACAGTGACAAAAACATGAGGGGGGGGGATCTGGGACCAAGCACTCCAATATGCACTTTCTGGAAGTATATATCTGCCCTACATTTATCGTGTCTTCTCTCCTTAGGGAAAAAAGCTGTAGTTTTAGTGCTCTACAACAGGGATCAGCTGAAGTTTTCCTTTACACTTCTTTGTTGGTTTATTTTTTTGACACCTGGAGGCTATTTCCTGTTTAAAATTCAAACTGATCTAATGTTGTAAGTGCTACCTGTACTTAAAAGATAGATTCTATTTTAATTTCTGTTCTGCATTCTCTTATGCAATACTATTGGGATGAGTGATTCAGGAAAGCTTCTGGAGGAACTGAGGGTTCAGATCTTAACAGATTTCATGTACAACATGTTTGTCCAATTCAGTGGTGATCTAAGATGGTAGATATCAGTCTGTGATTAGATGGGGAGCAGAACTATAGATTCTGTCTTAGGAATGATACTGAGACTGAATGTGACTGAGATTGCTGCTGTCTGGAGCAGTCAGGAGTGCAGAAATTGTACTAGGACATCCACATGGAGATCCTTGAAGGTATGTTTGTAGTCTGGTAACAAAGGACACTGATAAACCTCTTTATTCAGTAGGAGAGCTCTGTCAGCATTGGACTCCTCTGCAAATCCTGTACTTCTAGACAGTACCTCAGCCAGCTAGTGAATTGATGTGGGTTTGGCCCATAACCATAAATTGATCCCACTTAGAAGTACCAAAGCGCTGGAATGCTATTGAAAAGTTCTGGTGCATAAGCTTGAGTTGTGGAAATCGATGCAGTGATGTCAGCTGGAGTTTTGCCACTGTTTTTGATGTGGCCAAAATTTAACTTCAGCTGTGTTACAGGTCAGAGCAGAGCATGTTTGCAGACTTGCTTCAGAATCTGCTTCCCTGCCATCCCTTATGCTATTCCAGGCTCAAATTAGTTCTAAACTTAGAATTCACTCAGTCACACAAACACTAAAGTAGTAGTAAAAGGTCTTTTATAAAGCTAAACAAAAGAGAAAGTTGATCTTGTGATAAAGGCACTGATTTGGGACTTGAGTTTAATTCCCAATTTGGTCATAAATGTTCTTTATAAATTTGGAAGGTCACTTATTCTCCCTTGGTCTCAGTTTCTTGACTGTAAAAATTGGATAAGTTGAACTTTCTCCCTTTGTCTGTTATACAGTAAGATTTTCAGAGCATGACCATGCATACTAAGTTTATGTGAAACATGTAAAAAGACAGACATCTCAGGGTTGGGGTATTTTTAAACCACTATCATAAGAAAGCAGTAATAGTAGCAATGTGTCTGGTTGTCTGAAAAATCAGGTCTTACCCATGTCTCTTCTGTGTTTACAATAAATAAGAAAACTTTTCAAATTACTTAGCCAGGTTAATGTCTAATGTAGATGTATGTACTGAGTTTCTGTGGCAAGGGTTTTGGTAGCAGGCGGGGGTGGGTACAGGGGTGGCTTTCATAAGGGGCTGCTGGAAGGTTCCCCTGTGCCTGACAGCCAATGCCATGTGGCTCCAAGTCAGACCCACCACTGGCCAAGGCTGAGCCCATCAGCGACAGTGGTAGCATCTCTGTGATAACATATTTAAGAAAGGGAGGAAGAAACTTACTCAATTGCAGCCAGAGAGACTGAGAATATGTGAGCGAAACAACCCTGCAGCCCCCGGGTGAGTGAAGCAGGAGGGCAGGAGGTGCTCCAGGCCCGGAGCAGAGGTTCCCCCCAGCCCGTGGGCAGCCCATGGGGAGGCAGCTGTGCCCTGCGCCCAGGGAGGGGAACGGAGGAGCAGATCTCCACCTGCAGCCCGGGGAGGGCCCCACGCTGGAGCAGGGGGTGCCCCAAGGAGGCTGTGGCTGTGGGAAGCCCACGCTGGAGCAGGCTCCTGGCAGCACCTGTGGCCCCGTGGGGAGAGGAGCCCACGCTGGAGCAGGTTTCTGGCAGGACTTGTGACCCCGCGGGGGACCCACGCTGGAGCAGGCTGTGCCTGAAGTGCTGCACCCCTGGGAGGGACCCACGCTGGGGCAGTTCGTGAGGAAGGATTCATGTTGGAGAGGTTCATGGAGCACTGTCTGCTGTGGGAGGGACCCCATGGAGCAGGGGAAGAGTGTGAGGAGGCCTTCCCCTGGGGAGGGAGAAGTGGGAGAGACAATGTGTGGTGAACTGGTTCAACCCCCATTTCCCATCCCCCTGCACTGCTCAGTAGGGAGGATATAGAGAAATTGGGAGTGAAGTTGAGCCTGGGAAGAAGGGAGGGGTGGGAGGAAGGTGCTTTCAAGGTTTTGATTTATTTCTCATTAATCCTACTCTTGATTTAATTGGTAACAAATTAAACTAACCTTTTTCCTCCAAGTTGAGTCTGTTGTGCCCATGATGGTAACTGGTGAGTGATCTCTCCCTGTTGTTACCTTGACCCACGAGCCTTTTATTATATTTTCTCTCCCCTGTTCAGCTGAGGATGGGAGTGATAGAGCAGCTTTTGTGGGCACCTGGCATCCAGCTAGGGTCAACCCACCACAGCATACTTCCTAGCCCATAATAGAAACTACAGTACTATATAATAAAACCCCACAACTTTATTGTAATAACATATTACAGGAAATTAGATTAATGCAAAAAAACTGTATCAGAATTGAAATGTCAGAAGCCTGTGTTAAAAATGTATAAATTCTGCCAATTAAAAGTCTTACAAGTATTTCAGGGGAGCTTGAAAAAAATGGCAATGTGGCGATATGTTTACTGTGTGTCAAAGTAAACTAAACAGAGCTCTCTTTTCCAGGTCACATGAATCAAAGGAATGAAACAGACAAATGGATTAAGGCTGACACACAAAATGGCAGAGTGTGTCTTAAAAGCCAAAGCTGGATCCAGTCTGTCAAGCTGAAGAGTTCTTAAAGATAAAATAAGCCAAAGAGATTAAATCAAGAAACTGTAAAGGAACATTTCTGTAAAATTATGGAACTTTGATGTATATTCTTAATATAAGAGAGAAACAATATTAAAAATTAGGGCGTTTTAACCCAAGATTTGCCTGTGACAGTGGCTGGTGCTTAACAGATCTGGTTTACTTTTAGTGCCTTTTAGGAATGACAAGATCTTACATATTCAGAATTTGTATAACTTGACCCACTTAACACATCATTTTAAAAGCTGGTAACTTCCAAACACAAGTTTGGAGTTGTCATTTAAATAAAATAAGCTTTTTCACCATCTCATATTTGAAAATATGAAAATTTACTTCCAAGATGACATGCTCTGCAAACTGTTTTATATTTTTAAATGTCTCAGTACCATGGGAATTCTTCTAGTTTATGCACAAGACAGAGAATTTTCTTCAACCAAATTACTTGTATCGTGGATAGGATAAAACCACTTTCAGAACTGTAATTCTTATTTGGTCTTTTCCTTTGGTGTTTGATCCCTTAAGCAGTTTCTGCCTTGTCAATGGGTACTGTATGTGTAAAACTAATACAAAATGACAGAACTTGCTCCATGTCATCCTGAACAACTTGTTTGTGGATAGAAATAAGAACTCTAGCTCTGTCTACCACTGTTCTGCTGCAATGAGAAGGTTTTAAAATAAATACTCAAAAGTGCAATGGATCTGGCTGATTTCAAGGAAGAACAGTCCACCAGCTGCACTTCAGATAAGAGTCTACATGAACATTCCTGTAAAGTAAAATCTGCCAAAGAACGGAAGCATTGGCCCAATACATGAGATCTGTAATCTGTCTACTTGCTACATTTCCAGTGACTTGCCTTCCTGTCAGCCTTGCATGACAGGACTGTCAGCTCTGAGGCAGAAATGCAGAGGAGGGAGGTGAGGGACGTACGCCCTGTAGAAGGGCATACGTGAGTTTTATGGAGGTTTTTGTGTTACTGTAATACAAACACACAGTAAAGTAAATGGAGCTTTTAAAAGCCTTTCCATACACATATGGCACCTTATAAAAGAAGTGCTGAGATTTGTTTTAAAACTGCGATGTAAGAATTCCTGCCAGCTGCGTGGATGGAGAGTGGCAGAGTTCAGAGCGTCAGCTCAGATTTTAAGTTGTGTGTATGTGTGTATGTCCTCTAGATGGTAATGGTACACTATGAAATGAACTTCTTTGCCACAGGATTCCTGAAGATGTATATTTGCCCCTGGCTCCTGGAATTCAGTAGTCAAGGGCAACATTTTTACTGTAATTCAGGGTGGTTAAAACCTCCACCATTCTGTTTGCCATTTTGTGTACTGTTTGTTTGGATGAGGTGGGCACTGATATGTGTGGCAAGTTTTATGTATTTTTAATATAAACACTAATATATAAGACATTACTAATATTATTACTAAAAGTAATATGATATTACTAGTTATTAGTAACTATTATACTACTTTTAAAATACACTAAATAAATGTTTAATGGTTTTAGATTTCCCGAAAAATTTTTGAAACTAATAATTTTTTTGTACTGCTGCAGACAAACTGAAAGAGGCACCTCTAAATTCACACTGCATTGAAAAATAAAAGAGTGTAGTAGATACTTCACAAAATGGAGTCAATTTAATGGTTCTATTATTCACCTGGAATTCACAGCCTGTCAGCCTCTGCGATTAAGTTTGTGCCTTTTGAGACTGCTGCATCAGCAATTTAAGAGAGAACACAGTAAGAAAATATTTTATTTCTTTCATGTTCAAAAGAAAGCAAGGCATTCATATTCTAAAACTAGCTGGAATTAAACATTAGGATTGTTAGTTACTTGCTTAAAGAAGTTTAAATAAGCCATCAGAAAAATTGTGCTACTGCTAAAGCTATTCTGATTATAGTCTTTCCAAGCTAATAAATGTTGAGACCAGCTAGAACTTTAACATAAAGGTCAAGAATGAGATGAAGAAAGACAAATCTTTCGGAGTTTCCCCAAAGGCATTTGAGTAATGTCTTGTTCTGCTATGATGAGGTGAAACTTTATATTTTTCTCTAGACAAGGAAAGATTACCGGGTTATTAGTAATTAGGACTTGAATAGCAAATCCCTTGTGTGCTTGGGTTTTTTGTCCATTTGATGAGAAGACATGTTCTTGTAACTGGAGAAAACCTAACCTTTAACACTTCTTTTCATTCGTGCTCCTTTTTATGTGGTGTGACTGTCAGCTGCCAGCTAGATCTACAGATATAAACATCATCTCAGAGAGTTGAACTCAGTCTGAGAGACTTTTAGGAGAATTAGGGCTCTGGGTGCACAAATGTCTGTTGAGAAGTAGAAAACTGTTCTTAGACATGCATGTATAGTTGTGTCTTAAGGAAGGGGTAGTCACTACCTGTTCTTCGTTGCTCAAGAACACTGTACTTGATGAGTACCAGCCATGGCAAGTGTGAAGTTCTGTGGGAAGCCAGAGTGTTTATGTCCTGGAGAGGACCTTCAAAGAGGACAAACAAGAACCCCAGACACACACAGAGATTTATTTATTGCTTGCTCTGCACGGGACTACAAAAACTTTCATTACTGAAAGATGAAGACAGCTTGAATCAACATCTGAAAGTTATCAGTGTTGTTTTAGTACGGCTGTCTTGCTTGAAGGCACACACGCTCCTGCAAGAAGGATTCCCAATGCTTTCTTACTAATTCAACAAACAGCCTTTTATTAAAGTGTGATTAGTTTTAAGTAAAATAATACAGTGTTCTTTTCATGCTCTAGTGAAAAAAAAAACCACAACTGTAGATGTTGTGCAATTTCTTCATTTTTCATTCTGAAGAATTTGTTTATTGGTGTTTTTTGGTGAAGGTGAGTATGTTACCATCCTGATCCTATCCAAGCCAGGAAGGAGGGTCAGCATCATTATGTTCTTGTTTCTCCAATTTGTCTGTATCTTTTGAGACAGCTTGTCTGCAACAAGAGTTAAAAAAAAAAAAAATAAAAAAAATTGAAGAGGCTTTTTCTACAAAGAGCACTAAAAGCTGTTTAATGAGCAAAAGTTCCTTGTTTTAACTGAAACCATCAATATTAAGAGGTGGTGTGGAAACCAAAAAAGAGGATAATGGGTGAGGCCATAGAGTCACAGAATAAATGAGCTTGGAAGGGGCCTCTGGAGATCATTTAATCCTGGTCTTGCTCTAAATGGATCCAACTAGGCCAGGTGGGCCATGGCTTTTCCAGCTGAGTTCTGAATATCTCTAGGGCTGGAGGGTTGCACAGCCTCTCTGGAATCCTATTCAAGTGTTTGACAAGCCTCCTCATGAAAATAGTTTCCTTGTATGTAATCAGAACTTCACATACAACACTTGTCCTATCAGTGCACCTTTGAGAACAGCCTGGCCCTGTCTTCTGTATCCTCTGTTCAGTTACAGACAGCAATAAGGTCTCCTCTAGCCCAACCCTTCTCTTCTTGTGACTGAGTAAAGCAGTTCTCAGCTCCTCCTTTCATGGTCTTGGTGTGTCAGTGTCTGGACTGGGGAGCCTGAAACACAGGTCTTTGGGACTGAGTAGGTGAGGCCACTGGGATAATAGCATTGTGTTTTGAAGACAACACCAAACAAGGTAAATAAACCAGTTACATCAAAAGATATCACAGAGTCTCCAGAGTGGTTTTTCATAGCTATATAGGACAGCTGTAGTAACTGTGCAAGTCCCTATGTTTTTTAATTTCAACAGTCTCTGTGGCACCTCCAAGTATTTTTACCCTTTCCTGGTGCACCCTCTGCTTTCTTTTTGGCTAACCTCTCTACTTGTAGTTTTCTTCTGTCACCCACCTCTTTCTGAAGTGTATTGTTTCTGAAACAGAATTGGATACACATTCGGCAGTGTTACAGAGCCTTAGTTACCTGCACCGGCCCTGAGCTCGCCCCAGGGCTGTGTTTTGCAGCTTCTGTGATAGCTGAACCAGAAGAGAATTGCTTCTGATGTCCAAAAACACCCATGACCCCTCTGATCTCCCTTGGCATGTTTGTGGCCACTGCCCCTTTGCAGCGTTAGAACACAAAAATAACAAACCAGAGCAAAATGACACAGAAATAGGAGACAATCAGGCCTGCTGAGTGAGACACCCTGAAAAGAAGTTGAAGAGCAACTCTCCTCTCCCTCATTTCCAGGCAGTATCAGTCCAGGAACTTTCATGGCCTTCCTGAGCTGAAGAAACTCAACCCAGCACTTTCAGTCTTCTGAAAGTCTCTTTCTTTCCATCACTTCTGCAACTTGGCTGCCAGCCCGCCCCTGGCTGCGCAAAGCACCCGCCTCCCCTGGCCTCCCCCCATCGCTGCCTCTTGCACTCCAGAAAGCTCCCCCGGGCTGAGTGTACTCGTGCTGGTTGGGGAAGAGCCAGCTCTCTGCATCTCCCGTCCTTTTCAGGAGATTCAACCTGATCTGTGTGTCACAGCCACAGCAAGGTAGCCTTGCTCCCTGCTGGCCGATTTCCTAAGCTCTGTAACAGAAAATAATATATGGCATCTAGACAATAAGAGAAAAAATCTAATTTAAAGCGGTCTGTTCTCTTCCAGTAATGCTACTACAGTATCTTTTTTCTGCCCAAAAGTGAAAACATCGGAGGTGGTTACAAAAGAGTCAGATACACACAGCTGTGATGCTTGCACCACTACGGCAGGAAGGGGGACGCAGGGAGGGGTGCAAAAGGGACAAAATTACTGAAGCAAGGAGGGCTCCTTTTCAACCGCTACAGAATATTTTTCTTTAAATTTAACACTGACATACTGTATGAAGGACATGAACACAAGGCTGTATCTGTTTTTATATTATGGAGGCCTGTGCCATTGAGGAATGTGTGCACAATTTATATGAGCTATATGTGCTAAGCTATAAAATAAAAATCAACTCATCCAAGTCCAAATTCCTGTTTTTCATGGAAACTGCAATGTATGGTGGCTGTCTGAAGCATGTATAAGGGGATCTGTTACTATTTTTTTGGAAACTTACGCTGTCCCATGCCTGGAGCTACAGTTGATTAGTTTGCCAGAAACAGCCTTTCATTAATCATCAACACATGGCAAAATAGATCATTTATTTAAGATATACTGTACTGTGATAGTGTCTACTTATTTATTTATATAGTGTCTTAATTGAGCACACTGATGAATAAAAACATGTCTGCAAATAATTGCAATTATCTTTGGCAAAGCAAATATCTCTTGGTATAAGTCAGACAAAAGTACTGGCCTAAACACATGGCTTGAGCAGTACTGGAATATATAATTGAATCCTTACCCAAAGTTTTAATCCCTTTTACTAAGAGGGAGTAGGTAAGAAATACATCAGTCTGAATCCCGAGCCATTCCAGAATTCAGAAATGTTTGACGGGGTCCATCATACTAAAAAGCAGAGTTTTTGAAAAAGACTTTTTGAGATGAGATAGCATCAAGAGGAAAAAGTAATGGAAAATTAAAACTTAAACATGGGAGAACTGTTTATAGTGTAAATGCAGGAGAAATTAAGCCAAAGAGGCAGGCCACTAAGGAGAAGAGCAGAAAGCATCCTGCAAGCATGCTCCAGGCCACAAAAAGTGATGAGACTCCACAAAATCTGAAGTATTCTGAGGTCTGTCAGCTGCAGTAGTTGTATCATATTCTGGCATCCAGTTCAAGTGCACACAATGACTGAAGCATGGCACTTCAGGAGCCTCCATGTCTCCTCTGAAGAGCAAATTACAGTGAGAAGACAGTGCTATGATATTTTTGTTGCTTTGTCAAGAGAAAACAGTAATTATTCTTAGTCCTTTACCAAATCATGTGTGGGCTGTCTTCATTTCTGTGTTGGACTCCCAAATCCTTCCTGCTTGAGACCTGAATATTGAGATAATGCCTAAGAAATTCTTTTTCAAGTAAAGAGAGTTCCTGCAATCTCCTTTCTAACCAACAGCAACCAACAACCAAAAAAAACCCCAAATCAGAATGTTCTCCAAATGTCAAATGTATTGCAACTATTAACACCCTATGTAATTTCTGTTTAAAAGGCAAAAACTGTAATAGTACTTTTTGAGTCACTTGTTAACAGTGTAGTCCTGACTTGAAAGGAAAGGTAACTGTCTTCATATTAGTGCAGACAAGAAAGAAGGAAGCATTTAATTTTGCTCTCAAAAACCAGCTTTTGGTGGAACCGATTGGTTACAGACAAGATGCAGTTTGGTGAGAGCACCAGGCTGGCTGGCAGGGGCTTCTCAAGGCAATGGCAGATTTCCTTTCTCATTTTGCACCCAGAAATGTTAATAGAGCACCACATCTTTCTCACCACTGCAGCTGACTTTAATGGTATTTCTGTTTTGAAGTTTAAGGAGGGTGTTTTACAGGGAAGAGAAGTGGTTCTCGAAAGATGCCAGTGTGTTACTTCTTGTAGGCTTAGTCCCAAGTGAATCACAACCAATACAACCTTTTCCTACAGAAGCCATATTTTGAAAAGCAGTTAGTTAGCTTCTTTTCCTCTGATAGAAGAAATCAATCATACCAGTAACATATACTCTCACAGGTGGATTATCCATGATTCTTTATGGCATTTAGAAATAGGATTAACTGAAAGGTCATTAGCCCCTAGATCAGAAATGTGCAGCAGGATATCAGGTCATAGACCTTTTTTTCTTCTAACATTTAATAAACCTGGAACCAGACGAGTATGCTGGCAAATATAATCTTGAATGCTACCTGATACTGGAAAGAAGGGACAATTTATATGCTCATAACTGCTTCCTATAAAGCTGCACTGGACTGAAACTTGAAGATCTTTGTGGCTCCATATGTTTTCTGTTTTAATCTAACAAAAAAGCAAAACTAAAATTTTGAAAAAAAATGTGACACAATACAAGAGATACTCCTCAATATTTGAAAAGTTAGTGTTTAATCATAAATAATGGGGAATTCCTTTGGCAAAATGAAGTATACATGACATATAGATTTTGTAGGGCAACTTTAAACTAAAAACATATTTCTTCTATTGCTTATTTAGAACCTAAGCCACTAGCATGTTTAGTTCTTCAGCTTCATGGGATTTTTACATAGATGTCCTCTTCCATCTCCTTAAACAGGGAATGAAATGTCTCTGAAATTAAGGTTTCACATCTGCAGAATGTAAAGTACACCTGAAACCAGCCCAGCCTCTTCCTCCACATTCTTTGAAAATCCAAGAACCTGAATAAGGTTTTAAGAGTTAGTCTGAAAACAAAGAATGAGGCCCTGTTGTTCATTTTTCTGACAATCTGTTGCTTATTATTCTTTACTAACAGCATACAGATTATGCATTAAATACACAGTTTTATAAAAGCATATTGTGTCATATTAGTAACAGTACTGTCACTACTTTTGATGCCATTGAAAAGCTACTGCAGGACAACTGACTGTAGATTCACTGCCATATTTTACTGTGCTTTTGATGTAGTTATTGGCAGAAGATAATTTTTTTATCATCTTTGCAATATTGGCCTTTAACTACAATAAGAAAAGGTTTTTCTGAAGTGTGACACATACAGGATGTGGAATATATCTGAATCTAGCTGTGAGCTCCCTTTTATTTTCTGAGTCTTTATATTTAATGACAATTTTAGAGTCTGATTGACAAGCTGATCTTGATGCAGTCAGTCTATTCTGCAGCCTGCCTAGGTCTAGGGACACTCTTCAGACCTGTGGGAAGGAACAAGCAAAAAATCTTCAGTGCTGAATTATTCTACACAATCAATCCACCTGATAGTTTAAGTCCCAGAGTCAAATGGCACGGGGTAGGAGTTTCCTACCATTGAGCGTATGGTGCAAAGGGTTAGAGACCGAGGCTGGCAAAGAAAAGAATCATCCACCATCACATACCAGAAAATCAGGCTCAAGAAAGTGAAATCCGCAAAGTTTGCCTGGTTCTAAAAATCACAAAAGGGGGAAAGATAACACTGGGTGGAGATGTGTTGGTTTTTTGTATTGCAAAGATCTAAAACCCTCCAGGGCCTTCTTTACAGTAAAAATAACTGGTTGGGAAATTCCTTGGCTGAGTCAGAAGAGTTTAATTAAGACATCTGAAGAACCCATAGCATATGGGACTCTGAGGCAGAAGCATAATCCTGGGTCATCCTGCAAAGGCTACAATAATGCAAATGGTTTTCTGCGAAGTCATGTCAGCTTTTTGATCATGGCTCACTCAACATAAATTGGAACTCACACAAATGTCTGTTCTTACCACTTCTCACTTCTACAGGAAGATGTATAAGCATCCAGAGTCTGAAAGGGATGACGCACTGTTTAGTGCTCTAAATGGAGATTGAAATCACAAAAAAAGCAAGTCAACAACTAATCTGGAGCTAAAAGAAAATCCACTGAGGTTTAATATGAGAAAAATTGTAAATCAGAAAGTTATGAGAGAAGTAAATGTATTTAAACAGTGTCATTCAATTGCAATAATTTTCTCAGTTACTACCCTTGCATACCAATCCATAAAAACACTCTCTATACCTAACAAGTATTTAATTAGAAGTTTTAAGAAGATCTGAGATGACATTCGGAGAGAAGTAAAGAAAATAAAAGTAATGACAGCAGAATTGTTTGTGGTGAGACAGAGGGAAATAAACCAAGGAGGGTTTGAAAAGCATGAAGCACACTGGAAATATCTTGTAAGTTATTAAGCAACTGCATTAGTCTTGTGGTCTCTAAAGTGACTGTTAAACCCTGGAATGGTTTAGCAGGGAGTGCGCTATCTACTGTTAGAGTGGGGTTAGAGCTCTCCTAGTATGGGTACTCTCTACATAAGATAGTATTATATGTTTCTTACTCTCATAAAGTCTGATTTATATACCCAGATATATCAACCATGCATAAACTTTAGTTCTTTTCCAGTTTCAGTCCCTTTGGCATATCTGGCCACTGTGCAGTTGTAGGTGTACAGTGCCTGGTCTGTGATGCTCTTAACAGCCACGGAGGGGTGACAGATGATGAAGCCGTCATTGAGACTCACAGATGACAACTCAGCTCTCCCAGTTTTCAAGAAGGGTAAGAAGGAAGACCCTGGTAATTACAGGCCTGTCTGCCTCACTTCAGTGTCTGGTAAAATTATGGAGAAGTTTATTCTGGGATTTACTGAAAAACACTTGAGAGACAACACTGTCATTGGTCATAGCCAGCACAGGTTCATGAGGGCAAGTTCTGCTGAGCCAACAGTTCCCTTTTATGACAAGATCACCCAAGTAGCTGGCCAAGGGAAGCCAGTGGGTGTGGCAGTTTTGGATGTTAGCAAAGCTTTCCATGCTGTCTCTCACAGTATCCTTCTGGATAAACTGTCCAGCACACAGCTAGACAAGTCCATAATATGCTGGGTGAGCAACTGGCTGGCAGGTTGGGCTCAAAGAGTTATAGTAAGTGGGGTTACATCAGGCTGGTGGCCAGTCACCAGGTTCCCCAGGACTCAATTTTAGGGCCAGTGCTTTTGAATGTTTCTATAAATGAGCATATTAATTAAGTTTGATGATGATACTAAACTAGGAGTAGCTGTGGACTCCCTCGAGGGTAAAGAGGCCTTACAGAAATATCTGGATAGACTACAGAGCTGGGCAATCCTCAGCTGTATGAAATTTAACAAGAGTTACTGCCAGATTCTCCACCTGGGACGGGGTAATCCTGGTTATACATATAAACTGTGGGATGAGAGGCTGGAAAGCAGCCCCATGGAAAGAGATCTTGGGGTTTGGATGGCAAGCTGAATATGAGTTAACAGTGTTCCCTGGCAGCCAAAATAGCCAACCATGTCCTACTCTAAACTGCACTGGTGTGACCCCACCTCGAGTACCGTGTGCAGTTTTGGGTGCCTCAAGATAAGAAGGACATTGAACTTTTAGAGTGTGTTCAGAGGAGGGTGACCAGGATGGTGAAAGGCCTCAAGGGCAAGACTTAGAGGAGCAGCTGAGGTGACCTGGCTTGTTCAGCTTGGAGAAGAGAAGGCTGAGGGGTCACCTCATCGCAGTCTACAACTTCCTCAAGGGGGCAGGGCAGGGGAAGGTGCTGATCTCCTCTCTCTGGTGACCAGCGATAGACCACAAGGAAATGGAATAATGCTCTGCCAGGGGAACTTCAGATTGGACATTAGGAAGAGGTTCTTCACCGAGAGGGTGGTCGGTCACTGGAACAGGCTGCCACGGAAGCAGTCAGAGCAACAAGTCTGTCAGAGTTCAAGGAGTATCTGGACAAAGCTCTTAGTCATATGTTTAGGTAGTCCCACAAGGAGCTGGGAGTTGGACTTGATGATCTTTACAGGTCCCTTCCAACATGAGATATTTTGTGATTTTGTGTTTCCAAACCTGACCAGAACTGACTGGCTTTTAAATTTCATGGGGAACCAAGACACTAGGTCCATTTACACCAGCGGGGAAGTTAGATTACATTGTGGTAGATGACCTGTTTTTTCCAATTGTAGATAAATAACAAACATGTTTCACTTGTACTTCATGAAACTATGCTTATGATACCTTGATTCATTTGTTGTAACCATGCCGCATTTTGAGCACAGGTCCAAAACTATTTCTGCCATATAGTGACATTCAGTCATTGGAAAACAGGCTCCAACAAACTCTCAGAGTGAGCTCAAGTACGCAGTGCAATGGCTGAGAGCATTTGGCCCAGTTTGTTTTTCTCCCTCATGTTCCTAAGTGCCCTTGAGGTGATACCTTGGGTCTGCAGAAACATCCCTAAGAGGACGCTGTCTGCCATAAAGATAGATGGGGGTCCCTATTCCTCTTCACTCCTGGATGATGCTAGAATACATAGATACCCACACCAGGCCACAGGAATCCTAAGGCAGCAATGTGGACACCCCCTACAGTAAAGGAGCAAGATGACTCAAGCCAGATACCTGGCATGACACCATGCTGCCAGTGAAGAAAAAACCCTCATGTTTTGGGGGTTACAACCAGCTCTGAAATAAGATTAGGAAATATCCTCTTACTTGGTAATATTTCTACAGTACAGCATCTTGAGAATCTGGAGTTGCTTACAGCCTTTCCAAAGATATTTCAGTGCTTTGTCAGTAAGTTGAATGCAACCTGAGACATCCAAGAAGTGGAGATAATGGCAGGCTGCAGCCAAGTGTTGGATACAGGTATCAGTCATCTGTAAGTGAAGCAACAAGACACGCAGAAGTTAGATGATTATTGAATAGTTAAAAGACAAAAACCCAGACCACAATTTTAGCGTCTGATTTGTAGGAAAACTATCTTTTAAAATACCTCATGGAAGTAAAATTTCTGACACAGAAGAACTCTGAATCTCTGAAAGAGGCTCGACAGGAACTGTCACAAATATCAGAAGCATATTAGGTATTAGTTAACTGTAATTCCAATACAGTGTAAAATATTGTGGGATTTTTTTTTCACCTAATCAGAATGTTTTAACTTTCCTAACCTCATAATTTTGCATGTAGCACATATAAGCCTTTAGCCTGACTTGCTATTGCATTGTTCTCCCTAAACTATTAGGCTGCACTTATATCAGTTTTGTATCTCAGTTCTCTGTTACAAGTGAATGTCTCACACCAATACCTTTTTAATGTATAGTTGTTTTTCATTAGCTCTGAAGCAGAGCTGCTTAGTTTCACTTCACGATTCCATTTTTCTAAACTGATACTGACACTCATTGCCATTAATGCTAGAAGTAGCATTTGAGAAAAACATGAGTCATAGAGTCTTCATGGTATATAAGCAGTCATGCAAGCTACTTAATTGCTTCACCGACCTCACTGGGAACGGTCAAGAATACACTACACACATACTTTAATTACCTTGTTCTGTCAGGACCAAAAATGAAGAGGGGAAATACTAAAGACCTTTTACAGATACTTGATTAAAATCAGTGGAGTGATGGTGGAAAGAGAGATGAGGGTTTCACTTGCATTAAACAGACAATCTCATGAAAAGCTAAAAGGGACAAGGAGGCAAGTTGAAGCTGAGACCTTGGGCTGAGGAACAGAAAATGAGCACACAATCTCATTATACAGTCCTCCTGGAATACAGAGATAATTCTGTGCTTTGCTTATTCCAGATTTAGCTGTATGTTCAATATTAAGATCTGCAACAGATTAATAAATAGATTAAAAGGTTAATAACTAGATTAACATTCCTACTGAAATAAAAAGTTGCTGACTCTGAAGTCAGTAATCAATATTGGATGCATTTAAGAGAAAGGTACCTTCATCATACACTCATCCTCTCTTCAGAGTAATGAATTACATAATTCATTGTCCATCAAACTGTGTCTCCAGAACTTTGCTATTTAAATAGCTGATCCATTTAACTAGAGACTTATTTTCAATTCTTGCTGTATTTTTTCATGTGTAGGGTATGTTTCCCACAGCAACTCTGTTTTTTTCCTATGAAATAAGAATTACTCTTGAATCAGGCTCATTCCTTGAGTAAGACTGAGAACTGCCCTGCTGAACATTTTATAGTACCAGCATTAGCAAATGGCTTACACCTATCCTAGGTATACAGAGGCATGACAGGGACGCTCACTACACTTTCACTGAAGCCAGTGGAGTTTGTTCAAAGACAATTAATTTGCCCCAGTAGATATGATTAAAGTAATAAGCTCTTCTAATTTTAGAGTAACGAGCATAGCACATAACAAAAAATTCTTAATAGACATGTATTTCTCTATTGATTTTTTTTCCATGTTCTCTTGCTATGCTTTCTTTTTTAAATTATTTTTTTAAAATATAATTTAGCTGATGTTGCAGGACATGACTGTCAGACATATTAACATATAACCTTTGGAACAGGTTCATTCTTACTTTAATCTCCTGAACATTTTTAAACAGTCTCTGAGTGGAAAATATTTCCTTACTTAGCAGCTGGATCCCCTCAATTTACACTAGAGACTGCCAAAGGATTTGAAAGACCCATTAGTTTTAACATCCACAGGTGTACCCATCTCATTTTACAGAGTTGCAAGCTGGATTCAGGTCAAAAAAAGACTTGTAAACTTATGTGTAGATTTATTTGGAAGAGTCTTGATGTTCTTTTCTGAAAATAGTAGGGTATTAGCAGCTAACAGATTGGTTTTATAACCATTTAAAGAAAAGATACCATCTAGGAACAAAGTGTTGGAAGGGGATTACTAGGTCACTGAGTCTTCTTCTTGTTCCCATTTGCAGGAACTACAAAATATGACCCAGTTTATTCCCTTACCAAGAGCCACCGTAACTTTCCTTAATACTCTGCCCCATCTCCTTTCCCAAGATACTGTTTTACAATTCACTGCTCTGATAATCAGAAACTCTCCCAATTTCCAGCCTAAATATATTTACTGCCATTGTAGAGGTTTGGTTTGGTTTGGTTTGGTTTCCTGTGTTAAGATACAAGGTGTAGTGGAAAGCATGGCAGAGAAGACTGATTGCAACACTACCTAACTTCAACTACCTTGGGAAGATCTCCATGCTCAACTTCTATTGCCACTGTTATTATGGAAAAATAGCTTGACATCTATCTAAAAGCAAAGGATACAGGAGATTGAGACTCATGTATATAATATTTAATGGTGTACTGTAGGTATCTGTAAGATTTTCAACCAAGGGCTATTGTAAGACACCTAGCAACTTCCTTGGCCTGACAGATCTGAAACACAGGGGGTTGGCCTAGAGACTGAGAAACTTATGAACTTTTGGAAGGCAAGCAAATTGACCAAAATATCTGTAATTCAGAGCTGGCTAGCTAGTCAGCTAAGTCATCTCAAACTAGTTGGCCAGGAGGCTGTTCCATCACTGCAGGGAATAAGAGGACATGAGGACTGTGTGGAGGACTGGAAGACAGCCAAAGGTTATGGAGAAGGGTGCTGGAGTGGAGGAATGCAGGGACAAGCGATGGCTGCAGACATACTGTAGAAGGAAACAGGACATGGGCACTTCAGTAGGAAACCAGGGAAACCGGCCTAATGAGTATGGTGACATTTTAAAGCATAGTTCAAGGTGAACTTTTCCAACTATAGTAATAAACTGGGTCTATTCCCACTTTATAGTGATGGAAGGAACATTACAACAACTTCTCCCATTAAATTTTTAAAAAATTAAATAATCTTTTTTAAAATTGCATTTGAATGTTTATTGACAAAATGCAGCAAGTATGTGGTTTTGCTGTTAAAGAAAATAATTAAAAGCACAGAAATAATTAAACAAACAAAAGCCAGAGGTAGTAAGTCAGAAAGTATAGGAAAGGAGATTTAGGCCTTCATAGCAGTGAAAATTTCAAAAAAGAACACACATTTGGATACAGGAAAAAGATAATTGAGATGCAAGACGAATCAAAAAGAAATGATACAGAAAATATAGGAAGAAAACATGCTGTACTGTAAGCTCATGGTAAAGAGGAACTAAATTTCACTACAGGTGAATCTTAATCTAAATAAATGAATATCTGGAAATACATTTTTTCAGACATCCTGAATGAAAAATAGTTGAGTACCTTTCCTGACGAGATGTTAGTTAACTGAATAAGGCTGCAACTGCACATGGTTTTATTGGTAATAGACACCTACTAAACACAATACACTACATCAGACTCACCAAAGCACACTGGTGACAGTGGGAACCGCTAGCAAAACTGTCACATTAACTTGGATATTAAGGGAATATTCATATAGCCCTGGGATGACTATTATTCTGAGTCTTCTTCTAGTAGTCAGTAGAGAGACAGGGCTTCTCAAAGAACCGAGGAAAGGTTCCCTGACACATGCTTTCTGGGAACAATTCGCTCCACTGACTATAAAAAGCAGCCTAAGGACTACTCCCTCCCATAGGTATAAGTTACTCAAATAATACCTCATAAATTTTATTTTGAAAAGGACTTAGTTGTTTAGGCTTAGAATCTTCAAATCAATTAAGCATGAATTTACATCTCTGAGTGCATGAGCTTTTAGGCACTACTTCTATACTCAAAGTGGCCACTGCCCTGACATGTAAAGCCAGAGGTATAAAGTTCTCATGCCCCAGTTTATGCTTTACCTGGGTTCAGAGAGAGCACTGGAAAAAATAAAGCACGAAAACTCCAAGAGTTATTAAAACAAAGACAGCACTCTTTGGAAGCACCCAAAACACCAGAAGCTGAGAGAATGTTTGTGGGAAGTATCACTAAAAGCCCTTCTCTCTTCACCCTTCCTTAGACATCAACCCCTGGAGAGACAAACTTTTACCTGATACAGCAGACACACCTGTATGTTGTAACTGCAACCATTAGAAAAACGCCAAACACTCTCAAGAGCCAAGTCTCAGAACTTAAACCTCATGGACAGTCAGCTGAACTTATTTCTGATACAGCTGATTTCTAAATCAGCTGAGTACACTGTAGAATCGTGACAAGACACAGATGCCAGGGGCTCAAATTTCTGAATGAAATACTAAGTACTTCTTTGCAATAGCAATCCCAGAACTATTGCCCCATTTCTTCTACATACCTTTGGGCAACCCGCTATGCTGACAGATGTTAGTCTGTGGCAGTGAAATGCCATTGTGTTCACAGCTTCATCTGTCAGCTGAGGGCAGGAAGAGACACAGCAGTGCTCCAGGTATCTCGTGCCCTTGCAGAACTCCTGAAAGAGTGACAAACAAACCAGTCATTCGTAGGTGACAGGCCTACTCTGTTTTTCTTAATTTACGATACATTTACATCAATCCTTTCATCCACTTCAGGCACTTCAGTTTTCTAGGTACCCTTTATTACTAGTGAAGTCATTCAGCCGTTGTCTGTGAATGTCACTAGAAGAAGAAAAGATGCACTAAGAGGCTATTTTCTATTGTTTATACATTTATTCTTCCACTCTCTGCAAATGCCCATTTGTCTGTATATTAACTTTTCTGGTTTTTGTTTTGTTTTGTTTTGTTTTGTTTTGTTTTGTTTTGTTTTGTTTTCAAAAATGAACAAACAAGTGTATAGGTATAAATTAAATTTTCTTCTTGGAAAGGAATGGGTAAGAATCTCAGGACTGTCACTTGGGGGTTCTGATTTCCCCTGTGGAGTTCAGGCCAGCTAACTGTGGCTGAAGTGCCATGTAATTCCTGCTGTGATACCTGTTGACTGCAATTTATATCCTCATTTTTAGAGCAAAAAAGCACTTGAAAATCCTACTGACTTCAATTCCAGCACCTTTGTAACTCAGGCATTAGCTTTTTTGTATGCCCTGTAAAACAGATCATTTTGGAAAATAACAAACTGTTCAGTGACCTTTCCCAGCGGAGATAACTTCACACATTATGAAACTGTAAGAGCTGTTTACAAAACATTTTGGTGACCTACAGATGGCAGATGGCAGGTGATAAATGGGTGTAAGGTGTTGTTATAATAATAATAATAATAATAATAATAATAATAATAATAATAATAATAATAATAATAATAATATTACTATCAAGACATTTCAGCTTCTACATGAGTTTTTTTATTTTTTACATGAATACCCTTCTCATGTTCTCTTCTACAAGCTGAATTGAAAAGACCAAAGGGACAAATGACCACCTCATTGTGTTCATGTATTTTTCATCTTACATTTGATATTTGCACCTCTAACAGGTGACCATATGAATGAAAATTTTTGGCAAAAAGTACATTAAAGCATATATTTTAAATAGTTTCAGAGAATCCCACATAAAATTTTGCTTCTTATGAAACATGGGTAGTTACAACTTTGGCATAGTATGCACACTTATTGTTTGCAATGAAACTCCTATGAAAGGCCATATAGATTCATAAAAGGTACTTTTCTCCTTTGCATTCTGAAACTTTGTTTACCTTTTGGCCTGAATCTTTTTCAGACCTGAAAATATTCAATTCTAGGCCTACAAAGAAAAGGAGAAGACCATAATCTGTGTTTGTGGAAACCTTCTCTTGGAGACCCTGCAGATTTGTTAACCCAAGAACCAAATAACCTAAAATCGTATTTCTTCACCTAACGGTGCCATGATGTGAGGATTGCAGAACATCCTGTGATCTCACATTAGGTTCAGTGAGAATCTCTCCTATTCTGTGATGTCCAGCCTAAAAACGGTGAGATAGATGTCTTAAATTTGTAACTGAGCTGATCTTCCATGCCTGCTAATCTTGGCTTAAGGCCAGTGTAATTTCTCATTTACTGGAATGGAAATTCTACCTCGATAGGGGAAAGAAAGAAATGCTTATGTAGTAGATTGAATAAAAACCACTGGTTGCATGAAGCTTATCAAAACTTTCAGAAATGAGTCCTGAGGTGAACAGACTAAGGCCAACATGGATAAATAACACGTGTGCATGTACACAGAGACACACAAATGCACATACTTAACATGCACAAATATTATATATATTTATAATTCAGAAAAAAATTCTGTAATAATCAGACTATTGCCTTTGACACACAGCTATGTTATCTTTATGTAAAACAGGAATTGGGACAATAACATATGTTGATCACTGGAAAATGTTAGCTTTATGACCAAAACTTATGCAATTCTGTGTGATTTTCATAAGTCTTACTTAAACAGATGCAAAGAAATGTATTAAGTCTGATATTTTTTTCACAGACTGGAAATTTTTGTCTGTATCCTTATGCTAGCTTCTTTTTTTCTATCTGTCAGTATAGCTGTAGCAAGGCAGTGCTTATTGGGCTTCGGGTTCTTGTTTTATTTTACAAAAATATTAGAATGTCAATGTTTCAACTTAGGACTGGTTAGCGTGGACAATTCAGAATTTATATTAATTGGCTTCTGTACCTTTCCTATTTCAGTTGTAGCTCTACAGGGTGTTTGTAACCTCCAGTACAGAAACATTCTAAACCCAGTGTCTGAATGGTTTTAATCCACGTGTAAGAGAAATTGCACTCCTTTCAGAATCAAGCCTCAGATGTGATGTCACTACATTCCCAGCTAGGGTATGTAGCACAAGCTGAAGCCAAGATTTCAATGCCTGTGAGATATGTTTATCTCGTTTTTACTGGCATAGTTTGTCTACGTAGATATTTAAAATATCCCTCAAAGTTAGGTTCTGAATTTGCTCTTAGCTTTAAGTCTACCCTTACATTATTTTGCAAATAGCACTAAAACATTTGCAATCAAAGAGAATGGAGCTTTGTTTGCTTTCTTCATGCCTGTATCCCTGGTTCTGTGCCTATAAAGAAAATAACAGAAGAGGTTTTGAAGATAAGAAATGTTTGCAAAACATTTATACACGACAAAGAATGAAATAACATAATTTTCTAACTTATTTGCACAATTCTAATTCCACGTAAAGAAGGCCTGAGGACACACATAAGCATCAATGAAAATACGAAATACTAAAGTGCTGCTTATTAAGTGAGCATCATCTGAGTTACGAATGAACAAAGATTGTATTTACAAAATATGTGATCACATAAGCATTTACATACTGTTATAATGCCTGAGAACAAGTAAAATAATTAACACTGTACAGTCAACATTATTTCCATTTATTTTTGGATATATTATTTAGCTATTTTATAACTTTAGAGCAATTTACCTTAACAGTGTTAGCAAAACCCTCCTAACATGCATTTTCTTTCACATGTTTTAAATACTCTTTATATAATCAAAGGATAACCAAGTCATGCAGCATCCAAAGGGGTTACTCTCTACAAATTTTCCATAAATCCTTTAGATTCAACTTACAAAAAAGGACTTGCTATTTTGTTTCAAGCTACTTCTTTCTCCTGCCCTCCCTAGATCCATGACAACATGGCTTCTGTAACCCCCACATGTACTCCCTACTGATGCTTTCTTTCTCAAAAAGTACAAATTCATATGGCAGACAAGGAAACCATAAACACTTTTTTTTTTTTCACAGTCTTTTTTTGAACTTACTCCTATGTAGTAAGACAACTGAAACAGCTTCTTAGCCATAAGCATAGCACAATGCAGAAGTGAATATTCTCCTTTGAAAGCAGCAACACTGATGCTACACAACTTTCTGTGAGGTACACAAGATGTACATACTTGGTCATTGTTTCGGTTAAAAACATGGAACTTTACACAGAACATTCATGACGGGCAAGTCAGAATTATTCCCAAAAGAAGCAAATGCTAATGGCCTGACATGGATGTTGGGTAGCAAGATTCAATCCAGATGCATCCCTTGTGGTACAGCAACAACTGACTCATTCTTACAATATATGGCTATAAAATGATGGATGTTGGAGCTTTATAATGGAAAAAATGTAGAAGCTGAAGACTGGGATTACGTGAGGGCATTGCCTGTACCTGCAGCCTTATGATCTGCAACTGCTTAAGGGCATAAAGTTGACATCATTAAAAAACACGATTTAAGCATTTCTGTTACATATGGTTAGGAACAATTCTCAGTTACTGAAAAAAGTGCTTTTATTTGGATGTCAATCCTCCCTCCTTCCTAACAAAATGAATGGTTCTTTTTTCTACTGTAAAGTTACGAACGAGTGTTTATTAGTTATATTGTTCTGAAACACAAAGCAGTAAATCCACGCAATCGTATTGAATTTGTCAAATCCTCATAAGGTTTTAGGTAAACTTCAAGCAACCTGTGACGAGGGTAAGGAATTTCACAGTTTAACTATACATTTTGGAAACAGTCACCTCCTTTTCTTCATTCTGAATTTTCAAGCTAGGTTCATTTCATGCCCAGTAGATTATGTATGGAAGTAAACAGCAAAACGTTGACCCCTATCCAACCTTTTCATTCCACTTGCAATGACTGAACAGATCTCAGTCATAATGTCTCAGCCATCCCCTTTCCAGACCGCAGGTTCCTTGCTTACTTATCTGTTCCTTTTATGGAGATTGCACCATACCTCTGATCATCCCTATTACTCTCTCTGAATCTCTTCCAGTTTCCAGTGCAATGCTTCACCCATAAAAAGAATTACAGTAACAACGATTAACTGATTTTACCAAAACAAGACAATGAGTACTAATAAATCAGAATTTACTCTGTGGTTACTGCTGTGATGATACTGTTAGTCTAATAAATATTTGGATGGCAAGTCTCATTGTTGATATTCATTAAAAAAAAGAAAGAGTCAGTAAATCAGAAATATTAAAAAAACTATAAGCATTGTAAACTGAAATGAAAATACTGCATTATTATTAATATTTCTAAGATAATTGATAATTATTAAAGAAATAAATTATTTCTTCACTGTGTAACTCCATAACCTATCATCAGTATAAATAACTGCCTTTGTGTCACCTTCAATTTGTAGGTTGCCTTTCTACAAATTAATTCATTTCCTGTTTGACTACTTTATAAAGATTATTGACCCTGGGAAATTTCTGAGTTCATAGGCTAAGTATGAGATCAGAACACTAAACAATACAAATTTTAGCCTAATGTTTTTATTTTAAGAACAATGTCTAGCTTTATATTGCCCAGATCCCATGTTTAAATTTCAAACCCACTGTATATAATAACAATTTTAAAAAGAAAAATAATGAAACAATGGGAACAATTTAGTGAGATTCAACAGATGTCTTGCTGTGAGTGTGAGATCTTTAGAATAAGAAGTCAGTATTTCAAACATCTAGCTTACAATACGTGTAGTCCATTTTCTAGCATATTAGTTTCTGTTACATAGGAATAAATTATGCATTTGATGTTTTCGTAGGACATTTTTTAAGGTTTTATTCAAACAGTGACAGCATGCAATTTGCACTCTTTTTCCCATAAAACATCTATTCAATCTCGAGAAGATGCACATGTATTTCTTATTGAACTATAATTTGTTATTTTTAATCATAGTAATCATACTATTTATGCTGGTAAGTAATATGCCTTTACAGGTATATTGAGACACATTTTTGTGTCACTAAGAGATAATGATGTGTAGCAATGTATCAGCAGCAGATGAGAAACCAAGTGTAACAGACTAAAATAATTTCAACTATTCAATTGAGCTAGACATGCTAAGTCTTCTAAATACGGCATTCAACAAATGACTGACTAAAGAAGTAGAAAGCAAGACCTGAAAGCCCACACCCAGCAATAGGAAAAGTTTTACATAGAAATGTTTTGGATAGAAATTAGTGAAGGATTTGTAGAGCAAGAAATAAATAATAGTACCAGCAATTTAGATTGAAATTTGCACAGTACAACTCAGTAGAAATTAAGGCACTTGTGGAATGAATTTCAGAGACAAGCAGAATTCAAGATGCATTAAAATTCATGGAAGGAACAAAAAAAATGAAAGGAATGAAAGGGGAGAATCATTTGTAAGAGTGAGAGTGTATAATGGTATAATGAAAAGTAAGATCTGTTTTGTGCATGGTTAATTTGAAGAAATAGAGATGTTTTCAGGAAACACCAAGAAAAGAGGTGAAATTTTACCTGAATCCCAGTATCGCTGATGTTTTTGCATTCTGATACAGAAAGTTCTTTTATTTTTCCACGGCGGCCAAGGGCTTTCAAGCCCTAAAAAAAATCCAAAAAAATTAATTTTAAAAATCAGTATATGAAATTATATGTAATTGCGTTTAATATTTAAGATGGTCAATAATATCCAATGCCTGTATAATAAAGCATCTATCTAAGAATTACAGCACCTTTTAAGACATTTTCTTCAGCAGAATACATTTAGTTTATCCTCCAATTTTTGCTTGAGGTATGTACAAGGATTAAGAATTCTTTACAGAAATAGATAAACTGAGAAAGCAAAAACTTAGATTTTCCTACCTGTTCAGAAAGAAACAAACAGAAGTAGAGTGGTGTGAAATACTTCCACAGGACACAGACTAGGACTCTCAGACAAAATATGTTTATAGATCTCCTCTAAAATCTGGGTTTGAAAGAACTTTTCACATTTTTTTAATTGGAAGAACAAAATACTATTTGCGATGACCAAATAATATCTTAAAATTTATGCCTTTATGACTTGTTTACCACTTTATGGTTACAGCTATGGTACAAGGCAACATTTGAAATGGTGCAGTCACTGTTAGGTACATGAACAATCCCCATATTCTAGACAATACGGAGGTGAAAACCTTGGTAAATTCCTATTTTAGTAGTGCAAAAGTATCCAAAGATGCTTTATGATTTTTGCTGCTTGTACACCAGCAAACAGGACCATGTTCTGATCCTAACCTCTCTAATCTGAAGGAGAATTAAATGTTCCCTTTGTAAAAGGTATTTAGATAGTTACAGAATATCTCTGTGCTTCATATCTATAAAGTAAACCACTGAAAAACAAAGTTATCACTTAAATCCGTATGGTTAATAAATTATCTACAATTAGGCAGCAAACAGCACTGCACAGAGAGGAAATATCTTGAAAAAATAAGTGCATGTAAGTAGTGTCTGGAATCCAGATGTGGACTCTGTAATGATAATGCTGGAAGAGTGCGGCTGGAGTTCAGATTTTGTAAATTCCTGAAATCTCACTGAGTAAAAACAAAAAATGGAACAATGAAAGAGATTTCCAATCCTGGCTACTTATGAAAACAAAGACATCTGCATTTTTCTCAGCAGACACAGTTACGTGGTGACCATTACTTTCAACAGCTTCATGAAAATCTACAGAATTCAAATTTTTGTTGACCATAGCACTCCTATTCAAGACAAAAAAACAGCTATGTACTTAAACACCACATGGGTTTATGCCAGAATTTGAATTCCTTACAGCAGAGACTGATAGTAATGGGGGTGACCTTATGGACATAATTTCTTCTTGCATGTTTATTTAAAAGTGGCACCACTTTAATGTACTTGGTAATGAAATACTAAATAATATTATAAAGATTTTTTTGCTATATAACAACTAATGCTGCTATGACATCATACTAATGGTTTATATGACTAGAGTGACATTGAATCACAGAACAACTATTTTTTTTTCAGTGAAAATCAAGGTCTCCTTTGAGGCGTTTCATTAATAATTCCAGATCTGAGAAGGGAGAGAGTGAGGACTTGGGAGACAAGGAATGTCATTAGGAACTGTTTAATACATAGAAAACCTACAAAACTTTTACATTTCAAAAAATAAACCTCTTCAAACAAGCTCTATGCAGGAAGTCTAGTCTATGTGAAATTTTTAGCTATTATTTTCGTATCTAACATATATATAAAGGAGCCAGTTATCACTAGTTTTTATTATACTTCCTGATTTATTCGTAGTATTCCCTGATAAGTAACATCAGAGATCCCCATCCAGGATATTGACCTATTTCTAGATAATATTATCTTCTACACTAAGCCTCCCCACATTTTTGAAAGATATCGTCAGAGATATCATAGTATCACTGGATCTCCTAGAAATAGATGCTAGTAAAAAAATACTGTGCAGCATACAGACTAGAATCACCCACTCCTGTGACTCCAAAAATATATTTCCTTTTTAACATAAAGAAATCACCCCATGTACCTTGGGTCAATCTTCTGTTGCCACGGAGAAAAGGAAGACTTTGTCTTACATCTCTTGTATAGCATGTATATTACCGTTTCCATTTAGAAAAGAACTGTAAAAGAAACTTCCTCTCCAACCAATTTTTTCCAAGCAATTTTTACATTTTTTGTTCTCTTTCATTAACTTTATTATGTGAGGCCCAAACATTCGCAAAACATTATTTACTATTATTTCATCATGGTTTTTGTAGATGAGAACCTGAGTATCAACTGTACCAGTTGGTGAGGGTCTTCACTTGCTGGAGACAAAAGTCATCCGAGGCTATGGCATACCAAAGAACAACTCTTTATATTCACAAGCTGCAAGTCTCTGCCTTTCAACTGCAGACTGCAATGAATGTACTGTCTCTCGCTAACCATAACCATGTGCTATGCTATTTTCAACTTCTTCTGAGATTCCTGTTCACATATCTCTTTGTAACCTTAAAGGTCAGCATCTGTAATGTATCTTTATGTTCTAGAGACATACAGATGTTACTTCCTATTCATACCCCAAACCAAACAGATTGACCTCAAAGTGACTCCAATCTTGGAAGACAGTTCTTAAGAGGCATCTCCCACCTTCCATTTCTGAGCCATTTAACATCAAATGACTCCGTTTATCCTCTAAAATGCTCAGATTTCTACACAGATTAGCCACAGTCAGGCACCAATTTCATGGATCAAACACAAGAAGAATGTAATTCCTATCATGCAGTATCATTTTGCTAATAACAATACATATGTGGCAGAACAAAGTTCAGTTTCAAATGTCAAAAGCCTTCTGGAAAATAGGTAAGTTCTTAAGCAAATGTAGATATACTGTTTCCAGTTCCTGAGCTGATATAAAGGTGGGTCAGACCTGTTTGGAGAAACTAGAGACACTTTTCTATTGCAGCGCAGAATCCCCCTGTATGACTTAGTGTATAATGCATGCCATAAAATTAAATTTCTGTACCTAACATAATTTGTGGTTAGACCAGATCATGATTTACGAAATACAGTTGCCAACATTTGTGTTGGGAGTCAAGGTGTTAGCACATCTGGCATCAATTGTAATGACTCTCTGTGTTAGTATTTCCTACTTCTATGCAGAATTAAGTTGCTAAGTCTCCAGGTCAAATTCTCTCTTCCTCTATTCTCCCAAGCAAGCTGGAGTGCTAACATCTGAATTTGGAGACCACTTTAATAAATTTTAACATTTCCTTTTCTCTGCCTTGGGAATGTGTGTGATTTATTACATCCTTTCCTTTGGAAACCAAATGCAACTAATTCATTTGCAGTCTGTTGCTGGTTATATCTATTAGACCTGATAATATTTTTTTTCTTAACTTTCACAAGGCTCTTATTCAGTCCTACTGGCCTAATTTTCCAACAGACCAAAATATGGAGCCAGCCTATGGATTCAAGTAACCATAGATTCAGAATCCTACTAAGAGTGCAAAGAAATTCTTCTAGATAACAGTGGAAAGCCAAAATGCCACTCTGTTTTGATTTTTCCCCCCTATTTAGAAACTTACAGAAATATTAGTAAATATTTATGTTTCAGCCTGGCCTTCAAGACCAGCCAAGATCTGAAGATTATTAAGTACAAACACATAAGAAAAGAAAGTTGAGCTGACTGTGCATACATCTATATAACCACTACTCCAGAGTTCCCAGTGATTACAAATGATCCTCAACTGCAAAGAGTAACTACACACAGCACACAAAAAAATCTGTTCCTGAGCAGCTGACTTGATGCCACAGATAATTCTTGAGGACGTGTTTCAGCCAAAAGAGAGAACAGGGCCTTAGACTATTACAAGAGAGAATTTCATGCATGACAGTTATTGCAGAAGAAAACACAGAAGCAAAGAATATTTCTCTGTGTACTACATACTTCCTTTTTATGTTTGATTTCAGAAGTGTATCAGGGTTCTTCCCATTTTTAAAGTATTTTACATATTTTTTACATTTCAGGCTTTTTTTTCCCCCTCTCTCATTATTACACTTCATACCTTGAGTCTATGTCAGGGCATATACTGCTTTTGTTGCTGGATGCTCTATATAGCTCAGGAGTCAACTTAGTTACTTTAACAGCTCCTTTTATTATTATTTGCTGTGGTTTTTCTGACTGTCTAAATCCTGCTTGACTTAAGATACCTTGTTCAAATGTCCTGAACTTCTATACTTAATGGTTTATTTTATGTCCCAAGAAGATGGGTGGTCCAGGCCATATGCATTAGCAGCTTGTGTCAGAATGAGTAAAGCTAGGCAGCTGAATGCTTTCAGACTCTCAGACTGGGAGCAAAACTGCCAAAGCTGTATAGTATAGATATCAGAAGAAGTTCAAGACATATTAACAAAAATATGGAGAACATTAGAATAAAGCTTATAAATAAAATTGCTTCTCTAACTCATGGAAGCTTTCCCATTGTCACTGGGTCTGCTTTTATAAGAAAGATGAACAGGTTTTAGCCCTAAATGCCAGTGTTTCCAGCTCCATAATAGAAGCTTAAACACTTTGCATGTATTGTAAAGGCCTTTACAATGATATTTAAAATGAGTTGTGATTACAATATTATCTATGCATTCATGAAAATATTCACAATACTCACAATTTAACAACCAGAAACCTATGGTCCCTATTCCTGGGAGTTTAGGAGAGCAAAGGGTGAGGAAAAACAATGAGGGATATAATGCTAGCAAGAAAAAAGTTTTTCTCAAAGAATTTAGTCTTTTCAAAAACTCAACATTTTTTGCACTGTCATTGTGTCTTTAAAAAAAAAAATGCTGTCACTAAATTTGAAATCTTTTCATTTGTATGTCTCTTTTGTTTATAACCCTAAGAAACCAATTTGTAGTACTTCAGCAGTGACAAAAACAAACGTCCTTCCCACTGTTAAAGGTTATTGAGACTTAAAAACGTGTGTTAATTTAGTTTTTAAAAATCAATTTTGAATAAAGAAGGAAATATTTTCTGAAATGTAAAAGGATGAATGCTAAAATAACTGAGTGAATAAATTAATATTTTAAATGTAATTGTGTTTTATTTTATGTTTTGTTATGTATTGTATATGAGTAAGAGCAATTTAGTCAAAGCTCTAATGAGAAAAGTGAAGAAAATTCTGTGGTATGCCACCAATCTCTCATATGCATAAAGCTGATATCCTTTTCATGGGAAGGTATTTGATTTTGTTAATGAATGCTCTTCGATTTTTATTTAGCAAGATGTATAAGTGTACACACAACCTTAAACATGTGATGGATTACTTGCCTTATTCTAGATTCTGTTTAGAAGTTTACCTAGGCATTTTCTCTCAATGGAAAATGCAGAACTTTCTATATAATACCCAAATTTAAAAACATGCAATGATTATTATGCAATTCCGAGTCTTGACGAGCAGACTCGGGACAAGGATAATAAACTTCTCCAAACATGAGAGAGAGAGGAGTGCTGTATTTCTTATTAGCATTGCATATTTCAGTTACCGTGAGCCTACAGGGTACCACATTAACAAGATCTCATCAAGAAAATTTTAAGAGTCATTATATTTCTTCCAAATGCAACACGTTCCCTGAATGAAAGAGAGAGTGCAACAGGAACATTTCACTTATTTGGCAACAGAGAAACTACAGAGGGAGGCACAAACAGTGGAAAAAACTTCCATTTTGATTAACATTTAAGTCAGCCATACTGAGGCACAAATCTGCAACAAAATCTGCCTCTCCTCTATCCTTTCCTTACATATGTGTCATCCTTACTGCACTAAATTCTGCTCTGCTTTGATGGGCAGAATGATTCTGTCATCACTTGAAAAGCTGGAAAGGAAATTTCTCCTGTGTAGTGCAAATCTATGTTGCGTATTCTACATGTTACACACTCAATAGCAACACAGCAAAAGCAAGAGAGATCCACTGCACAGGCTGCAGGAAAGCATATGAGCCTTATAATTTCTCTTTATCAGCAGAGCGTAACACTGTTGATTACAGCACATAAAACATTGCGCTCTCTGCTACATTTTTAAAGCAATTTGGCAACAGTACTTAAAAAGTCTAAATGGAAAGGTATCTTAATACAACCTCACCTGTATGCTATTAAAATGCATAATATAAAACCGCATACAAATAGTAGCTTGTTGCTTGTTTTAAGATTAGAAAATGTATTTATTATGTGTGCATGAATGTTACATACTAAAACCGCAGTGAACAGCAAAAAAACATAACGGTTTTGTAGCTAGTACGAGCAATCAGATCAGAAATTGCAAACATGATAAATGGTTAATTTCCGGGTTAATTTATCTGTCTCGTGGGAGGGAGGCAACTGAAAGCCTTAGAAATGCAGTGTAAGCAAAAGAGCTTGGTTTATTGCCAAGGTCATGGGTTGCGCTATGTGAAAACTAGAGTAAGAAGTAACAAAGCATTTTAAAAGACTAGCTGTGGCAGGCAAGGAGACAGAAAACATTTATGTTGAAACACTGTGGGACTGTAATTCAAGGCATTATAAAACTCATTCAGATATAATTTTATATATCAAATTGCCACATTAAATCAAGTCTTCTTGGATTTCCCAACCCTCTTTACTTAGCTTAATTTTTTTTTTTTTTTTGAGGCCTCCAGAAAAGATACAGGCATTTTAATTACTTTATTTCACATTTTAATTACTTTTGCACAAACTTTTTGTTAGAGTCAAACAATAAAGTTCTTGGTCAGAATTCTGTTGGAACGGTGACTAGTCTCTATGGCAAGTTTTCGTCCTGAAGTTTCTCCTATATTTCTGTGTTCAGTGAAAAGAGTTTGCCCCCAAAGTAAAAGAAACTGCAGAACTGGCTCTGAACCCTGTGCACAAAGCAGGACCTGCCAAGAACATTTAATGTGGAGGCCTGCAATGTTTAACCTGGCTCCCACATTCATTATTTTGCTTTCCAGAGTCTTAGCAAATTGACACATTGAAGATACCTTGTTAGAATTTCTTTCACAAGTAATTATTTTCTAGACCACAGTGTAGAGCACTGACTGCTAGAGCTAACATT